AAAGGGTAGTGGAGGAAATAATAAAGGGAATAAGGGAAAAAAATGGTATAATAAAAAAGTGATACCAAAAACAACGGGGACAAAAACAAAAATCAAGGAAAAGATGAAAAAGGCGGAAATAAAAAGAAAGACGGCGATAAGGGTAACAAAAAATCTAAGGCTCACGTTGTTTGTAAGAAATGTGGGGGTAAGGCCTACTATGCCGGTTGTAAGCGGTCATGAGGGTATTTATACCAGCGTTCAGTGATTTCTCGAACGAGGGTATTAATACCCACGTTCGCTCAAATGTCCGAATGCGGGTATAAATACCCACGTTCAATAAATGAAATTTTGTTTGAACGGTGGTATATAAAATAACTTGCTCTAGAAACTTAACGTTTAACCTCAAAAAGACAAGTCCAGTGTTAAGAGTGCAGGACAGCCCGGTCAGCGGCCGAAGCTGGTTCTCAAGTCGGAGACAGTATGCGCTCCGCGCCTGTCTTGAAGGATTCTCCAAAATTTTTCAAGTTAGAGCTGTAAAATGAACCTTTTTGTACGTCCGGTAATTGGTGTGTTTCCCGCCTTCATCGAAACAGATGAGGCTCTAGAACAGAACTGTTCTCAAAACGCCTGGAAAATACCCACGTTCGCCAGTAAGTGTGAACGTGAGTATCGAATACCCATGTTCGGAAGAAAGAGTGAACGTGGGTATAAATACCCACGTTCGGGGGGAACAGTGAACGCGGATATAATACCCACATGACCGCATACCACCACTATGCCAACGAGTGCCCTAGTGTTTTTTAGCCGTAAAATGATCATCATTCATGATCTTTTCGCGTTCCTTTTCTTTCTTTCGTTTTTTTTTAAATTTTTTCTTCTGCCAATATTTTTCCTGTAAATATTTTTCACGTTTTGTTATTTTGAATTCCCATAAAAAACCATGGGACATGATCTGCCTGTTTCTGAAATTGTAATCGTCCAGTACGACAACGACCACATTCTCACTTATGAGGTCAAAAATGTGTTATTGGACACTGGGGCCAGTTCGAGCTTCATACGTAAGAACATGGTCCCAACCAATTTTAAAACTTCAAAGGCTTCGGTTGCACTCACAAACGCTCTCGGAAGCAGCATGTGTAGTATAACGGAGAAATTGTCATGTTCTATCAAAATTGACAATAAAATTATTCCGGATGTTGAGATGTTGGTCATTCCGAAACAGAATCGAATCGATTTTAACGCTGTTCTCGGATACAACGTCTTGAAACGTTTTAAATTGAACCTCAACGGACCGACAAACAGTCCCCTCCTTCTGAATCGAAGGAAAATTGAGTGCATTAATGAGGAGGTTGAAGAGGTCGTTAAACGAACGGAAAAGTCTGCGCTAGTGGCCAGAAAAACTAGCTTTATTGGGCCAAATGAAACCAAATTTATTCGAGTAGTTAGAACCGAAACACATAAAGCGCCGTTAGAGTTAAATCTTATCGGGTCCGAAGGGCTCATTGAAAGAAATTTGGCGCTACAGACATAGACTTTAATCGGCAATCATGATCAATTGTCGGTCAGCAATCGTAATGATCATACATAGGGTTTTTCACGGGAGCGCGCGGGGCTCGGAACGCCTTCTGACCGCGATTGCCGTTATCACTTTTTCTGATGGGTTTTATATGAAAATTAAGGACAATACTAAATCGAGGATGAGGATAAATAATATGCTATCAAATTTTTAGTTTTCTTTGAAAAAAAAGGCTAAAAAATGGCAATTTTAGTGAAAAATCCTCACTTTAACACTGAACACACTCAGACACAGTCTCGATTTTTGAATATGATCAATCTCAAGCATAAAAAATTCACCTCTAAAATTTTTGGATAGCCGAAAATAGCCGGTCACCCAGAAATCCGCATTTAACTAGAACTTTTTGGCATTGCGCGCGCTGGAGTCGCGCACGGGGTCAGCGCCTGGCCTGAAAACGCGTATATTTACTCACTCCCCCGGAGAGCAGTCCGAACCTTTCTGTAGAAGGTGACGAAATAAAGTGGTTCGATGCAATTATTGGGGGATTTCCGATTTAAACATGATAATTTCATTGTAAATAATGCGGCTTACCCTCGAAAATGCCGAAAAATGCTAATTGTCAATTAGTTTCTGAACATGGGTTTGCAGAAATGTTAAAGATTCACAAAAAAAACATATTCCTTCGGCAGAAGGAGTCCGAACTTTTCCAGAGATTTAAAAAAGAAGTCAAAGCAGACTATTCTTACTTTTTTTCTAGAGAAATCAGAGCCGAAGTACCTTGTATCCCATGAAATAGTTAATGGATATAATGTTAGATACTGCTGTATAATAATAATTGTTATTTAACAAAAATAACCATTAGTTTCACCATGTTCAAAATCCCATAGAAAACTATTTTGGGAAATTTTCACTGAAAAATCTCCCTTGCACCAAGTGCGCCAAGACAGCGCGCGCTGCACCACCAAAACGTCGACCGGCGCCTCTGATTTTTGTATTTTTAGAATCAGCGGGTCAAATTAAGCTAACGATGAAATTTTCAGAAAAAAGTGATAAATACCATTTTCCCGTGAGAAACCCTAATCATACACCTCCACCTTTAAGCTTTTGCAAATAAAATTTTGTACGAGATTGAAGGTAACGAGGAAAGTTTCTTCTGTTTTAATTATCAGGATGATTTTTTGGTAGTTTCGACAGAAAGAAATCATCTTCGCACTTTGGAAACTATATTCAGGAGAATAAAGGACTTCAACGTCGTAGTTTCCCTGGCGAAATGCGAATTTTTTAAGAAATCCGTGAAATTTCTCGGGTTTGTTATCGATGAGTCAGGGATAAAAGCTCCAGAAGCCAAAGTCGAGGCGCTTCTGAATTTGAAAAATCCAGAAACAGCCAAACAAGCGATGAGTTTTAATGGATGTCTTAATTATTATTGTTGACTCATCCTAAAACTATCCGCACTTCTCTCCCCAATTACAAAGGCAATCTCTCAAGGGCGACAATTCAAACTGACCGAAGTCATGAAGGACAATATCGAAATTCTTAAATCACACATCAAGAACGGAATTGGTGTGTGTCATCTCGTTTATCCTTCAGATGAGCAGGAAAATGAACACATTTTCGTCGCCTCGGACACAAGTCAATTCCAGACAGGTGCAATTATTGGCAACCTCACGCTGGAAAATGACAAAATCAGCAACGTTCGCGTTTGTGGATATTCGTCAAAAGCTCTTGAAGAGCCCGAGACATTCTTGTCCGCAAGGGCAAGGGAACTTGTGGGCCTTATGCATGGTATCAACTCATTCAAAGACCTTCTTTCAAAGGATGCTAGGCTCATCTTCATAGTTGACCATAAATCACTTGAAGATCTCCACTGCAAACCAAGTCTTAAACCGAGCAGCGGGACAAGAGCCCGACGAGCTTACAGCTCTGTCATGGAATTTTCTCGTGCTAGAGTTATCTACCTACCTAACACGAGTGATATCATTAAGTTTTGTGATAATCTGTCACGACATCCAATCTTTGAAATTGACCACAAAACTGTTTTCCATCCCTCAATCCTTTGTCCAAAGAGGACCAAAGAGAACTCGATTATAATATAATATAACTCAATTATTTTCATCAAGCTCTGTTTCACATCGGAGAAAAACCCCTGCTCCAGCACCTTAATAAGAATGAACATTTTCTTTTTAAGCAAAAGGAAAACATGTCAAAGCATGTGTTAAAAGTTGCCTCAGATGCAATCATATTCACCGTCGCTACAAGACTGCGGACGTCAAGCAGAAGCTCGAGCCGACATTACGTCCATACTCGGCTGTTTATGCTGACACGATGCACTTTGTCTGCGAAGGAAAGAAATTTTACTTTTTAACATTCCTAGACGGATTTAGCCGTCGGCTAACAGCAAGACATGTCAGGTCACTCAAAGCACCCCATATCTGCCCCGCTCTCACTGAACTCATCTATGAAGCAGGCGCGATTGGGAATTGCCAAATGATTCTAGACAGTGGCCCTGAATTCCAAGAAGAAGTCATGACTCTTCTTACATCATTAGCAGTCAGTCATAGCAGAATTTCTTCCCGAAAACGTCAAGCGAACAGGGTGGAACGCTCACATCCTGAGATTCGCACAATTCTTGAATCATATGACCCAAAACAATCAAACATCGTCCACAAATTTATGCTTGCGACATACGTCTACAACATGCGCCCAAGCAGTGGACTCTTTGGCAGAACTCCCCTTGAGGTTTTGTACAACAAAGCGCCTCCGAGTAACTTCTTGAATTTAAGTGTGGAAATGCCAAAAGAGAATAACGATGAGAATAATCTAGAAGTCTACGAGACTCATATGCAAGATATAAAATCTTTGCATACCGATCAAGCGGAAAAGAGTCTATCAAGATTCTTCCTTGAATCAAATGCTACGGAAGGGACCCTGAAAAAGGGTGATTTTGTTATGATTCGAGATCCAACGCCAGCGATTGGCCATGGATGCTTTAACAGAGGACCATTCGAGATCCAGACGATTGGGAAACGAATAACCTTTGGTATTTCACACATTTTCGATAAAAACAAGCTAAATCGATCGGGCAAGTTTTTGATAAAACTTGACTTAACTGAAAAAGATCGACAATATTTATTGAAAAAAGAAGACATTTTTATTGACGAAGATACAAAAGAAATCTACAACACGGAATTTCCCATCGACGCTAAAGCAATAACACCTTTCGAAATAGATTATTCCCCACTAAGTCAAGACGAATCTCCTCGATATGACCTGCGCAAACGTCATTAGAACATCACTACTACTACAATTTCTCCTGCTCTTTATACGAAACACTGACACAAGCACTGCAGATCTTCAAAAACTAGGAATATTTTTATTCAACTCTACTAAAAGTACGTTCTATGTTGATTCGGATCAGCAGACAACCCTCAACATAGAAATTTCACCCCACTTGCCAAATGTAAGCAGAGCGACATTCGTTTGTTATGAGGATGCAAAAGACATGAATTTGCAAGCCGAAAACTATCTCAATATTTTGATAGCCGACTGGATAAATCTCAAAACGAATGTCTCCCTGTTACATCCAGGCGAATTTAGCGAGATTCACAGAAAACTCAATCTACCACTTATTCATAAACCAGTGACATTATCAAGTGTTTATGGCACATACAATGGCGGACCGACAAAATCGGAAGTCGGGCAATTAGATAATAATCTCGACGGTAATTCGCAGACCTTCGAGTCCTTTGGAGACAATTGTGCGCTTGACACCAAATGGAGTACCTTCAAATTTTCCATTTTCGCGGACCAAGACGTAGATGAAGTCATCTTTCAATTTTCGAAAGACTCGGTCAGTCATGTCAACTTCTATATCATGTTTGACGCGACTGCCGCGAAAGAAAGCGAATCAGAAATTTATTCACAAAACTTCACAGCTCTTGACATCCCAGATTCGCGTCATTCGTACACTTTATTCAATATCAAAGGAGCACTTCAAGAAACAGTTGAAAAACAGCTCCAAACCAACAGCTCATTTAAAGTTCCAAATGATGCAAAACCTCTGCAAAATTTCATCATTGATCTTCACTTCGACGATATTACAAATGAAAGATGGCAATTCGGCCAGCAGGCCCGAAATGTTGCGTCGGAGTGCCTCAACTTTAAACTGTTCCAGGTGGTTGCGTTCAAAAACATAACCATCGAAGAAGCAGAAATCGAACTTCGTGAAAGTCTTTTCTCGACGGATGATTCAGGTGGATTCCCTTCCACGAACTCTCGCCGGAAAGCCTTTCGGTCAAATTTTCGCGTAAACGGTCTCCATCGGTTACAGCACTCCGATAAAATTCGACATCAGGAAAAGATTAGTAAAGTAATTGATTCCACTCGAGCCCCAAGAATCGAGGTGGAAACCACAACTTACGTTACTGCTCTTGGCGATAATCTGGAAGCGACTACTGCTCTTGGAGACAATCTGGAAGCGACTTCTGCTCTTGGAGACAATCTGGAAGCAACCACAGCTCTCGGTGATAATTTGGAAGTAACTCCATTTCCTGACAAATATGAATACTATAGCACTTACTCGGATGAGTCATCAGACTACTCCGACGAGAGCTACACGTCAAGCGATTATACGGAATACTCGACAGATGACTCGACAACTTGTCAAGGAAAACACTGTCGAAAAAGACGCCAAGCAGTTGCTCTTGCAATTGGCCTAGCAACAGCTGTTATTGGCGGTATAACCAGCGAAGTCGAAATGCTGCACCATAGGAAGCAGACTGAGAACAAAATCGCTCATGACGAGCTTCTTATGGCCAAGTTGAGCGATCGCAAAAACGCTGAGCTACAAAAATCCAGGTTCAAATCAAACGTGAACATGCAGATGTGAATGCGGCTCTCGCAAAGGAATGCAAAACCAGCAGCGCTATCTCCGATCAAATACTTAAAGAACAAATCTTCGATGAGTTCAAAGATTTCGGCACGCCCTGACTATGTCGTGAATGTCGTGAATGTCGCGAATGTCGTGAATGTCGTGGCAAAAAAGCAAAAAATATGTTCTAGAAAAAAACAACAATTTCATCGGATTATGGAAAAAATTTTTCCACCGATTAACCTTTCTGAACTAATTATTAACAGAGAAGATTTATAAATATGGGATAAAGAAGCGCTCCGCGCAGTTTCTGGTAGAAAACTCCTTGATTGGAGTGGTAACACATCTATTTTCGCGCCTCCTACTGTTCTGCACGATAACGACGATACTCAATTTCTAGAACAAAGTTGTTTTCAACTTGGTCATTTTTCGCCACGACATTCACGACATTCGCGACATTCACGACATTCGCGACATTCACGACATTCACGACATAGTCAGGGAGTCCCAAGATTTCAAGGATTCGATCATGCAGGAAATAGCGAATTTGAAGACAAGAGCCTCATTTTCCAACAACAAAGCGATTGAAACGGTCATAGGCGCTTAAAGGCTGCTAAATCCAGAATACGAGTCAGCTTGCCGGGACTTCATGGAGATTACTCCCGTTAGAGCCGTAAGATACCGCCCACAGTTGGACCATGAGCATCGACTATCAATATTGTTGGAACTAAAGTTTGACAACCCTAAAATGGAAGAGATTGCCCAAACATTGGATATAACTGGTCTTCCAGTTCCAATCGGGACAAGAAACGGAGAGTACTATTATATGAAACTACTCACTCCAAAACAAATTGCTTTTTCTAACAGGGTTAACAAAGCTTTCAGCATTGATAATTGTCGCACTAACACGCTCATTAAGTCCACATTCTGCAGTGAAGATGATCTCTTTTTAACAGAGTTATGGACGCATGTGCTGCATCGCTCTTGTCCCAAGAAAAGGCGAAAGCGTGTGAACATGAAATTATCCATTCAAATCTTGATTGCATTTTCGCCAATAATGAGAATTTTGTGATTGTTAGCTATTTTCATACTCCAATTGCTCGATCTTCAAAATCAACTTCCATTATCCCCACGACCTCAATGGGTTCACAAACGATAGATAATAAATCAAACATTACGGTCTTTAACAGAATTGATCATTTGTTGACCGTCTCATGTAATAATGCCCAATTTTCTATCAGGGGGAAGAGTCGCGAAATCAATGAAATCGTCGACCAAAATTTTTCGGCTTTCGATCCGAAGACATTCGTAGTCAATGCACATCATTTCGAAAACACGCTTCGATCGCTTGATGTAACAAAAATGGTCAACAAGACAGATCTTGAATCGATTTCGAAAGAATTTCAATTTGAGGCAAAAACGGGATATGGTCCCGTGGATAACGCTCTTTCGAGCGTTCGCCCTTTCAGTAATATGGCTGTTTGGGTAATCGTCGGAATTATTTTACTCGTTATAATCGGAGGATTACTTAAATATTCCGCAACTTTGTCAAAGAAATGCTTCAAGTGCTGCTGCCCTTCTTTATTCCGATTTCGTCGTTACCTGCAATCAGGTGATGAAATTGAAGATTACAACCGAAGGGCACAGCAAGTCATTATCTCTCAACCAAGAAGCTCTAGACGACAACCACCAGAAATTCCCCAAAACAGATTCAATCGCAATTTGCGTTTTCCTTCGTTTAAAAGTGTGATTGCAGAAGACGCAGTATAATTATTTCAATGGACAACCCAAACAAAGTCAAAAATGACTTGATTATTCAAACCCTTAAATCCATGAACGAAGAAGATTTCATCTTGCGTCTTCTTCTTGCAAAAAATCTTCTTGTTAATGATGCGTCTTCTGAAATGAGTCCAACTATTTTTCGTGCTATCTACAATTTTTTCTGTCAGTCTCTCGAAAGCGACAATGATTCTGTCCCAATCATCCACTGGTACTCAAGAGATTCATGTCCGGTTTTTAACTTGTGGAAAAGGAAAAATCATGAGCTTGAGAATTTGCTAAGGGTTCCCAAACCCTACATTTCACTTCGATCAATCGCTAGCGACGCTTCGCCAATTGATGCAACGTCTTGTCATTCTTTTGGTTCAGGGACAACTTCGGTAGTTACAGTAATTAACAATAGTAAACCACCAAAACCGATTCCCCTTCGACAGGAAGACAAACCAAAAGAGTTTGCGGCCCTTTCGATCAAAAAGAAACGCGCTGCGCCTCAACCTACTATTAAAGAGGAGCTTATTTCATTTTTGCGAGCTAAAAACGGAAACACAAGTCATTACGAATTTCAATAATTCATAGATATGTGTAACTACTTTGCGTTTATTTAATATCATGTCTGCTTTAAATTTTCTTTCTCGCGTCGTTTACAATAATTTTATTTACAATTCTTCATGTATTTTTATTAACACCTAAATTTAGATGCCGGCGATCATAGACGAGATCCTTATACTAGTGTTTAACACGCTTCTCAGACTAGTTGACATTTGCATGCGCTCCGTCAATTTAAGGGTATAGTAATCGCTTAGGCCTACTTTGAGCTCATACTCCTCAGCACCTGTAAGAAGTAAAAATTGCCTAAATGGCTAGAATTAAAGATCTATCTTAGATCTTACTATTGACAAGAGGTTTTTTGAAATTCAACCATTTTTACCACGTGACAACCCCTTAAACTTGGCATCTCGGCCAAAATAGGCTATATAAAGTTTATAAAATATTAAAAAAATCTCTTATTTCTCGGTCAAAATGTTGCCTTTGATGTTATCAATCATATTGAGGGTGAAAAAATGAGAAATAAAGGTAGCCAAAAATGACCACTTTGACTTCAGCGGGTACCTAACCTCGGACAACCATATAGAGGAAAAGAAATTTCCCTCAATTTTGAACTAAGAGATGATGATAACAGCAAGGGCCCCGCTTACTTTTATCGCACGTGTCTTGGTTACAAAATTTATGATATCGAATTGGTCAGGATCATCGAGGACTTGCCCAGAAAACCACGTGGAATAATAAGTAACATCTTAGCGATATCGGCTTTGTCGAGCGATTTTTCGCGTACCAAAGTCTATCGGGAAAAATTTCTACTCTTGAAAATAAGATCACGGATATTTCAAATGACCACACAGAAATTAGCGATAAACTGTGTCGAAACACTGTAACATTATCCGAATTCATTAGGGAGGAGTTCACCCTTTCTAAGAAAATAAATGAGGATATGTTCAAAAATATCATTTTCAAAACATTCACTTATTTTCGAGAACACATTTCCCGATATCATATTTTCAATTAAAAAAACGCCAGGAAATATTGCGTAGAGACTTTTAGTTAAGTTGTGCATGAAGGAAAATAAGGATTTAAATGCATGCAAACTATATTTACACGAACAAAATCATAAACTTATTTATATAAGTGCAGTCAAGAAAAATAATACGATAACAATTTCTTTTTGGATTAATTTTTTTATGCCTCTTCTCACTAAAATTATAACTTTACAGAAAATAACAACAGTAGCTACCCCATTTATTAAATCTAATTACACATATATTTACAGTAAGGCTCAGGTTCCGACCATCATAGGAAAATTGAAAACTACTCTTTTGACTTGGATAATTGTTTAAAAAATTCTGGAACATATTTTTGTATGTACAACGATTAAAATTTGAATTATGTTATATGAATTGTTATAATTCCATCGGATTTGACTCAGATCAACCCGGTTTGCTTCGAAAAAATATTCCTTCCATCACCCTGTCTATTTGATATTTCAAACAAAGATAATCTGTTTATTTCACATTTTAACAAGCCAGTAATGACTGTACTTGAGGCAAACAATTTTCCAGAACAAATTGAAGCCGTAGCTATCACAGATATCGGCATCACGAAAATACATAGATCATTTTATAATTTACATATCGTTTGTGATAATTACCAATTGAATTTTCTCGGCAAGTCTGAAAGGCTCGCCACTACAAAACTGATAGAGCCAGGAATAGATACTTTAGTTTCGTACATTAATACGAATATTTCAACCGAATACAATTTGATAAATGATAAGAATGAGCCTATTTCGAACAATGCTCATACAAGTTACTGGATTTCATCAACAATATTTTTATACTGACCGCTATAATCACGGTCCCGACCGTATTTTACTTTTTGAAAACAAATTTTATTTCCAAAAATTTGGCAGATTGGATTTTGAACTCAATGAAAAGAACAGCCGCTGAACGGCGCGCAAGAGCCGAAAATAAGCATTCAGCAAGCAATATTGTTCAAAATGACCAAAATTTTTAAGGGGGTAGACGTCAATAACCGATTTATTTTTTATACAGTCAGATTCAATGCTTTTGTCACGGATTTTGCTCAATTAGGCCAAGCGCGGACCAGATTTCAGTGAAACCAGGATAAAGGGTTTTCTTTATTTTATTCATTTAACAAAGCTACACCCTTGATCTATGCTCATAGCAATGGGTGAGCTCATAGGGATTAACCCGTTAACCCGTTAACAGGCGCGTGGCCGTCTCACGGCCACGCGAGGAAACGAGTAGCCAATCGCATGGCCGGATCCATGATTTCACTCAATCACAAACAGGTTAAAGCGTAGGCGAAAGTTACGTCATTTTCGGCGCTGAGATTGAAAAAAAAAAGGAAAGAAGGGAAAAGGCGGGCGATTTGTATTACGCTTTCCCTTTTTGTCGCTGACTTAAATTTTTCTTTCGCTTCTCCTGAGCAGAATTTCAGGCCGATTTTTTTCAAATTGATACTAGTAGGCAGAGAATTGATGAAATTTTTAAAAAATACAAAAATTTTGGATAAAAAATATAGTTTCGATTATCTTATCGCTCTCCAAAGGCTGCGTGGCCGTGAGAAAGCCACGCGCCTATTAACGGGTTAATAATTTAAGGGGATTCACATCATTAAAATTTCTTTATTACATTTTGCAAAAATGGTATTTATGTAGTGGTTTTCCTACTGTTTTCGCTTCGAAATATGGGATTCTAGCGCGCGTGGTCAACGTTATTATGCTCAGTGAGCCGTGACGCGCCCAACGCCAAGGCTTTCGTTCCATCATACCTAGACAGCTCGCCCCTCTCTTTTCCAGCGTTGGCGATGGCGACTATAAAAACCACTGCACCCCTATAATTTAGTAGTGAATGTATGTACGGGTGCACATCCAAAGTGAAGCTTTCTCATTGGTCCATTTGAATTTGGCGCCCAAATCCAGGGTTCTCATTGGTCAATTTTGGACATGCGCCTACGCATATATAACCTACGCAATCCCATAAATATTTGACATCTGATTGATAAATTATTCAAATAATTCAATTATATTATTCAATTATATATATATATTTATCTGCTGAATATTCATCCAGTTCCTTTCTGATTTCAACAGCTTTGTGTTCATTTTTCGACATTTATTGGTCACAGAAATACCGTGGTTTTCCATCTTAAGAGCGCCCAACTTTCGAGCGTTTTTAGGAATTTTTAATTAATAATTAGAATAACGTTTATTTCAACCTGAAAAATCATTGAAAAAATTGTTTTCTACGCTTTTTCTCAGGTGAAATCACAGCCTCTGATTCAAAGATCGTAATTTTTTATCATAAATAGGTAAAAATGACCTCAGATGCATTTTTAGAGTTTTGGAAAAATTCTTTTTATGCATTTTCATTCATCATTTTTTCCCACTGTCATCCTAGTTTGATCGTAAATTTTCCAACTTAAGAGCGTTTTGGTCTACCCTTGTCATCTGAAAAACGCTCTTAAGATGGAAAACGACGGTATAAAAAGGCATAAAGAAAAATTTATTATGGTTTTTCAGAAAGACCATAATATTCGATTCAATTTGAAAAATTGGTTAAACAGTGTTAAAAAGGTTGGTAAAATAGAACACGAAAGTAAAAAAGAATTAGTTATAGAATGACAATAAGATTTCAGTACAGATCATACATTCCCAATCCGACTCTGCAGCGCCAGCTACAATGATGACTTTCTTCAATCTTTGACAGTAATAAACGAGTAAAATTATTGCAGAAAATCAAAGACATCGACGAAAAAGTTGGTGCTTCTTGGACTGCGTTCTCCCCAGGTCTTGATGATAGTAGCGTTGAAATGAGCATCTTCCATAGCTTTTTGTTGTATTTGACATATCGGATTTTCGCATGATCGACTGCTGATGCATTGGACGAGGTCGAACGACATCTGATCTTTTTGATTGAGAAAGATTATTCTGTCATAGTTCTCGTGTATAAAAGGTGCCAACCGCAAAAATTCAGCAGGCGTTCGAATTATCAATTCTCTTCTTTAACCTGGCATTGTTTGTGTCGATTTAACATTTTTTGGTCTTATATAGCAAATCAATTGATTGATTGATTAAAAAATTTCATGCTGAGAGCAGGGATAAATAATCAATAATATTCGATTGAATAATTCGAATAATTTGAATAATTCAAAGAATTAAAATTTTCAAAACAATTTCTAGAACGTGTATTTTTAAGCATGCAAATGAGCATAAGCAAGCAGAAGGAGATTTGCCGCTGTAAGCGCAACATCCAATTGTTTCGTAATGGTCAAGAAGGTATGATTAATTTTTCTATCTTTTATAATTGTGCAGCCCGAGTGCTCGCGAATGGACACGGATTCCCTGTTTTCGGACGACAGCCGATTTGTCCAAGGTGCTTTTGCTGCTCAAAGCAACGACTCGTTGTTTTTGGACAACAATATGCCTGGTAAGTCAGTTTAATAAAAATAAAACTTATTTGAATAAGGTGCCGTCGCCAACGACTCACTGTTCCCGGACAATCACGAAGGTTTGTGTTCAACAAATCTAAAAATTCTAATAAAATAAGGTGAGAACGACAAAGACGATTTCTCCGACGAGGTGTCGTACTCAACTCCTTCTGCGCAAGAAGAAGAAGAAATCTGGGAGCAGGATCCTCTCGACATCGTTATCCCGAAGCAGCAGATAGAGTTGTTGGATACCGATGTCGTCTTCCAGGAAGCCGTAGACGTGGAAGGCGCTGATCGATTGGAGAACGGAACGCTTGTTGCCACCGCTCATCCTGTTGGAAACGAGCCACCACCAGCTTACTCGCCACGACCGCTCAGAGGTCAACGAACTTCCCCTCCTCAATTTTCGCCTGAATGCGTCTATCACTACGAAGACGTTGTTCAAGGCGAGTCTCCACCACCCTTCTCGCCTTGCGTTCGTCGCCAATTGTTTGTCGAACATACTTATTTACAGTATGTGAGTAAGGGAGGAAGACTTCTTGCATCCAAGAAGCTTCCGTTTGGCAGCAAGATTGCCAACTTGTGGCGTTTGCAACTGCACGGTATGTCCATGGTTTTCAAATTGAAATTAATTTTATTCAGCCGATCGAAACGAATCGACATACAATCTCGCCATGGCTCATGGTCGTGGCTGGGTTGAACTTGTTGAGGATAACATGAGGGCTTCAACACAGGCTTTGAAAGACGGAAGGTTCTGTGTTGGCATCTTTGGAGAAAGTGGCGTCAGCGTTGCCATTTGCGGTGGAAAACTCGTCAAGACCGACGAAGAAATTGAAGATTATTTTTCATTTTAACTGTTCAATAAATCGAATAATTCGAAAAAATTTGAATAATTCAAATAAATTTGAATAAATTGAAAAATTCGAATAAATCAAAATAAAAACAAATTTCGAAATTTGGAATGACTCATTTCAATTCTGGAAAGTATGTTCGACTGGTAAAAGAAGTTCAAGGTTTCGGATTGGTTGAGGAAGGTCAGCAGGTTGTGGGAAAGCAGAGAATTCCTTCCCGGCGCCACTGTTTCGCGTTAATCCTGATAATTTTTGATTACAGTCGGTTTTTCAAACTAAGAGAATTTGATTCAGATATGCTTGAAGGAGGGCGGCAGACCGTTAGTGACCGTATTCAAAACTCGCCAATTTTTAAGGCCAAATTCAAAAAGTCTCAAAAGTAAGAAAATTTTTCAAATTTGATAGATAATTCGTAGCATGGACGAGGCCGAAAATTTGAGCGATCAGGATCTTGAGGCGATGGCGAACTTTCTCAGTGAGAATTTGGAGGGCAAGATTCGTTGCCAGGTTCGAAGTGAGGGTCCCAAGGTAAGAAAGCAATAAGAGAAAAAATAAAAATATTAAAGTGTGCAAACATCTGCACCTACTCGATCACTCTTCTCATTGGAATCGTGCTCGGTGCCGCTGGAATTGTGATTTATTCAATGTTCCAGAACTGTCTCCGTGATACATTTCAACCACCCCGCACTGAACCTGATCTCGCTCGTCATGCTCGATCTCTTCGATACGGTAAGTTTTGGAAAATTACTCCTTGTTGATTTTTATAAGAATGGGATGAAGAAGATTACGACTATTCGAGTTTCATGTCTTCCTCCTCCTCTTCGACTGATTCTTTCGAGCAAGGTATGATGCGTTAGAAAGCCAATTTAACAAGATTAAGATGAGTTCGAGAATCAATATGTGCAAGATGGAGTGCAGGAGAGCGATGGAAGCGGCCAGGAGAGCGATGCAAGCGATCAGGGGAGCGGTGGAAGCGGCCAGGAGAGTGATGGAAGCGGTCAGGAGAGCGATGGAAGCGGTCAAGAAAGTGGATCGGATGGAAGTGGTCAAGAAAGCGGTCAAGAAAGTGCTAAAGAAAGTGATGGGGAAGAAAATGATGATTGGCGCAAAATAATCATTCAATTTCAAAAGAAGGTATGATTACATCCAAGAAAAAAGGATTGATTATATTTAGATAAGAAGAGATCAATTGAAAAAAATTTGCTACTGCTCCGCTTCGCCACAGAATATTTGAATTATTCAATCAAATAATTCAAATAATTATCCGAAGTACTGCTACTACCTGCTTTGCCTCTGAATTTTAAATAATTCAATTGAATAATTCGAAAAAATAATTATTCGAATTATTCGATCAATTATTAAAAAAATAATTTGGAATTTTTAGATTGAAAAATTGAGTTCACACTATGTTTGTGTGGAAACTCCAACTGTTCTAGTTGTGAAGAGGATTTTACTTTGTGGATGGAGTACTCAAAAATGCCGATTTTGAAATTATGCGAGAGTGTTGACGATGACAACTCTTCTTGTCTGGTGGACGATATTTGCATCATAGTGAATCCACTTTGCTGGGACGATTTTCCACTCGGATTTTGCGCAAACCAACTGGTGAGTCAAATAAGTTAAATAAAACTTAAAAAATATTTTCAGAGACTCGCCATTGAGAGACACGATCGCCGAATGATAAAACTTGAATCTGAGGTGAGATATCAAAGAGGTTTAATCAAACAATGGTTAGAGAAACGACAAGTTGACCAAATTCGTTCTACGCCAGATGATTGATGTGCCGGAAATTTTCAAATCTTCCAAATGGTGTGAAACTTATGTAAGATCAATATGCAAACAAAGGTTAATTGCTATTTTAGCGCCGTCGTTTGAAGATTGCCGAAGGTGAATTTCCGCCCACATCAGAAACCTGTTTTCACGGCGTGAAACACTTGATCGTTCCCTAATCGGACTACATGCTGCGCCTGATCTTGAACTGAAATTTTTATTTACTCACTGATGGACATTTGATACTTTATTCACAGTTAATTACTGTTAGCTCACGACACCAAGATTAGGGTATTTTAACTAAAAAATTTAGAATAACTCGAAATGACCCATGGAGGAGGAGGATTTACCTCGGAATCACAGAGACCAGAGAACGATGTTTGCCGAGATGAGTCCAGCCTTTCTCGAAGCTTGCATACTGACATTGGCGCGATTAATGTCAACAATTGCGATGTTGATGCAAGCGATCGAGTGGGGGGCAATGATACTGGGAAACGCGCTTTTCTCAATGGGTATTTTGTTGAAAAGATCATAGTTAATTAGGTTTTAGTCGAAAACTAGTCAAGGCTCGACGACACGGGCAGACGATTTCAAGATTTTCAAGAGCATCGGCAAGACTTTCAAGGAGCTCGACTCTCAAGGTAAAATAAGTGATACATTTGGTTCAAATATTAATTTAGTTCAACCCCTGCCCAGTTTCAAAGGTTTGATCGATTAAAAATCAAATTTTATTATGAATAGCGGGTAAACGGCGACGATCTTCTGCCGGGGGAGTTGTTGCCAAACGTCGAAGATTTTGTCCGAAAAAGTCTCCCAAAAAGTTTTTTCGGAAGACTATGCAAAAGAGCGTTACAAAAAGCGCTAAAAAGATTTACAAAGGTTAGTCAAACGGAATTTGCCGATTTAAGTTTTTAGCCGTCAAAGATTTTGACGGCGTTCAACTCAGTGTCAAATACGGGCACCTCAAAGCAACTTTGAGCGTTGCTCAACGAACCGACAACAGCCTTGCCCCTGCAATTGAGTTAACAACTCCGACAAAAGGTTGATTTCACATTTTTTCCCAATTAATGGTAATTAGGCTATACTGTCCGAGACGATGGAATTACAGGTACACACAAACACGAAATTTGAATAGATTTGATTAGTTTCGCCACCAAAAATGTTGAAATTGGAAGATACGCAGGATCCTTATTTCCAAGAGCTTCCATCTCCGTCCCGAGGCGCTCCATCGCCTGATACGCCAGCGTTAAAGGCGCCAGTTCCAGAGGCGCCAGTTTCAACAGCGCCAACAACTCCAGCAGCGCCGCGTTCACCAACTCCCTACCCGTCGCGCTCCAATTACGGCCGACCTCTCTCCGCTTTTGTTCGACGATCTTTTGTTCCACCTCGTCCACTCAATGCTTTCATTCGCACTCGGGGTCAAGGTTGAACTTTGCCCAAATCAATCAATAACAATTTTTTATAGTTGAAACTGCCATCAAATATGCGAATCTGCTCAACGAGTTCCATGCTCTTTACGGATACAAAACAAATTGAATAAAGGCTTATGTTTACTTTTTAAGACAGGGTTGTAAATCACCCTGACCACCCCACCTCGAGGGTGGGGTGGTTGCATAGCACCATGATATTTTTGAGGTGGAGTGGGGTGGTCACGGAAGCACCTCAATTTTCTCAGGGTGGGGTGGGGTGATTCGAAGCCACCTCGGAATTTTTCAGGGTGGGGTGGGGTGGCTCTTACGGCGAAGTCAAAATGTCGGGGTGGTGTTAGGGTGGGGTGGCTGGGGTGGGGTGAGTTATATGATATTTAACTTATATCTCTGCATTGGACGGTAGTAATGTTAGTATGTAGTAGCATTCTCAGAAGTGTGTAGTAATACTACATTGGAAATATGCAATTTTTCACAAATTTTTCTCAAGAAGAGACGTTTTAACTTTTTATGCATTATTTATGTCTCTTTTCTATATTTAAAGATGCTAATTGGAATACAACGGATCTAGTTTGACTTCAAAAAATTAAATTGTTAGTTATTTTCCTGGTGTTAAATGTTAGTAAACTGTTTACCGCATACTACATTTTTTAGTTATGGTAGTAGGTAGTATCAGTTTTTCGAAACCGTGGTAGCAATGTACGACATTAACAACTCTGAGTCAGGTTTAGGTGCCTGACTCAGGCCAAAACACAGGGTTTTTTCGACCAAGTTCATAAAATTAAAATAGTTTCATTTTTATGCACCCTGAGGGTGAGGTGGGGTGGGGTGGTTCGAAGCCATCTTAGAATTTTACAGGGTGGGGTGGGGTGGTTCTCACGGCGAAGTCGAAATGTCGGGGTGGTGTTAGGGTGGGGTGGCTGGGGTGGGGTGATTTACATCCCTGTTTTTAGACATGTGCAAGTACATCGTCAAGGAGAAAGCCTCCGCGGAAAAACCCCCGGTACCTCGTTTTAGCGATGGTTATTTGCCTAGGATTGATTCAATCTCAGGTAGTTTTCAGTTGTTGTCAATAGTTGACATTTTCATAGACATGGCCATATCTGTTCACGGCTGTGGGATCAGCGAACTGCGTACAATAAATAACACTCTTGTTACTTTGAGCTGGGACTTTATTGTTAAGTCGGTAAGTTGAGAATGCCGGCTCTCTTACTCGAGGAGCTGACGTTTAGCGGCACGGAAGTTACATAATAAAGTGGTGATCGAATAAGTACAGTCTGTCCAGTCCCACATGTTCCCCCAATTTTTCGGTCGGAACTTTATTCTTGGCGAAATGGCGATCGGTTCGTTACTCGTCGATTAAAGCTTTAGGCGGTTTCTCGACCAGTCCAAGGGCTCGGGACGAAATTCGCATAGGCTAGGGACGTAATTCGCATAGGCCAGGGACGAAATTCGCATAGGCCAGGGACGTAATTCGCATAGGTTAGGGACGAAAATCGCACAGGCTGGCGCTTCGTGTTCGCGAAGAGAAAAAAAATGAGTTTTTGAAAGTGAGAATGCTACCTCGGCGATTAAGGATCTGCGCATGATGTTATTTCCAGGCTTCGGTGGCAGACGAGTAGAATAGAATTGGTGAAGAAAGATGCGAAAAGAAAGGATGAAAATTTGAAATGCTAAGGACTACCTCGGCGTTTAAAGTGAAGAGCCAGCTTGATTGGGCATGACCTGACGTCTTTCTCGCGTGCCTCTTCGAAGTTTAATTTGCGGTTTGGGCTTTTCTTTGTTATCGTCGGCTGTTAGGGCTCGTCGTCGGAGCTGTCGTAGTCGTCCATTTCATCAGTGAGGTCAGGGCGTCTCCGTTTAGCGAGGACGACATGGTGTCGGTGGACCCATCGGTTGACTCCGTCCTGCTCGATACACAGCACGTGCCCATCTGAGGCGATTACCTTGAAGGGACCAATCATCTCGGTGTGCTCCCTTTTCGCAAGTGCGCTGACTGGGCGTTTCAGGTAAATTTTCTCCCCTTTTTCAATTTCCTCTGGGATTCGAAAGGCCGGTTCGGCGCGTTATTGGCGCTCGTCTACTTGCTCCTGCGCGAGTTTAATCATTTTGGTAGAACGGACCAGAGTCTCAGCACATTGTCGGGCGTAGTCGTGCGGCGTTTCTGCAGTCGGCGTTGAGCTTGGTACAGTAATTCCCACCGGGGATGATTTTCTGCCAAATACGGCTTCGAAAGCGCTCATATTTGTCGCCCTATTTTTTACACTATTTATTGCGAACACGACTGGGGCGATAACGTCTTCCCAGTCGGCTCCTTGATCGTAGGCGACTGCCCAAATGGCTGATTTTAGAGTACGGTGGAGCCACTCGATCGTACCTGAAGCTTCTGGGCGATAAGGGACGTGAAGGATCTGCTTGACATTGAGCAGTTTGCAAAGATTTGTAACGAGTTCCGCCGCGAAGTGTCGCCCACGGATAAACTTGTACGAATCGCGTTAATTGGCATTGTAGAGTCATCACATATTTCTTGCCTGATTGACTGCGCTCGAACTCGATATAGTCCAACATAATAATTTCGAACGGACGGCTTCCACGCGGAATTGTCAGTAAGCCGGGCTTATTTGGCTGTGTGTCGGATCCTTTTACCTTCAAACATACGGTGCATGATGCACAATAGTCCACGACGTCCTCATGCATTCCTGGCCATCACGCCCAATCGAGAAGCTCCATTGTTTTCTTCACTCCAAAATGAGCGACTTCATGACATTTTTCAGGAACCGGGTTTTTAATGAGCTCGGAATAACGATGCGGTCTCTCCCTTCCAAATTCACCAGAAGTACGTTCGAGCCTTCGTGAAATTTGTATCGCTTCCGGTGACGCAAAAATGCATCTCGCTCGCCGCAGGAGTTAAGTATCCACTTCTCCGGCTTTACTTCCTTTTGATGTACTCACGAACCGTGCTCAAAGATATATCCTCTTCCTGGGCTCGTGTTATGACGATCATTTCGTGGAGATTCAGGTTCGATGAGTTGCAAACAAAACTGGTGAAGGCAGAGCAATCTTGAGCTTCTTCGCTTTTTGTAAGGAGCATTTCTTTTGGAAAAACGCCGCCACATGACCATGAAGGAACGTAAATTTAGAGCCCTGCCCCTTCCTGGGTGTAGAACTCACCCGCTGCGCTGTCATCTACTGTCTGCGACGAAGCGGTTTTACCGTAAGGCCGTGAGAGGAAGTCCGCGATCGTGTTTTTACCCGGCAGATATTGCACTGCAAAATTAAACAGACTCATGCGCTCTCTCCACCTTTGAATTTTTCGATTTTTTGTCGCCTTCCGGTCGATGTTGACGAAAGGTTTATGATCTGTAAGGACGATGAACGGCTTCGACCCTTCTAAATAGTATCTGAAGCGCTCCATTCCCCAGAGAATTGCGAAGCCTTCTTGTTCTAGAGTCGCCCACCGGGACTGTGTATCTGAGAGAGTGAGAGATGCTGCGCCAATCATTCTGATAACGCCTTTTTGTTTCTGCAGCAGAGTTGCGCCGATGCAAAATTCGCTTGCATCAGTAGCCAGGATAAACGGCTTGCTGAAGTCTGGATATGCAATGACCGTCGGCTCAGTCAGTCTTCTTTTGGCTTCCTCGAAGGCTTTTGTGCTTCTGGAGGCCAAGTAAATGATTTCGAAGTTACCTTTTTTGTCAATTTAGTCATTTCTCTCGTGATGTTTGAAAAGCAGTACTCCGCGATGTTCTCGGACAAATTTGCCGATATCCAAGTTGAGACCCATCCAAGCATGCCCAGGCAAGACAGTAGCTCCTTTCTATTTGTTGGCGGCTCGATCTTCAGTATATCGGCAACGTTCTTCGGGTCTGGCGATATTCCCTCTGGTATTATTTTTCTCCCCATAAATACCGTCGATTTCGAGAAAAACTTACATTTTGCTGCACCGAGGCGTACTCCTGAGCGCAGCAGCGCCTGAAATACCTGGCGCAGCGTCATCATGTGTTTTTCGAATGAGTCGTCGAAGACCAGCACATCATCAACATATGACACTATCTGGCTCGATCTCTCGACCTGGTCCAGGGCGTTTTGCAGGAATTTGCAGAAGATATCTCCCGCATGGAGAAGTCCAAATGGAAGCCGTCGGAACATGTAGCATTTCCCGCGCCATTTGAACGCGGTTTTGTGCCGATCATCTGGATGAATGAGACAGTGCCAATATCCCTTACTGACATCGATTGTAGAGAAGTACTTAGTCTGTGGCCCAACAGTAGCGAATATTTGCTCCAGCCGCGGTAGGGTCCACACCTCTCTGTCCACTTCCGTTATTATTTTATTGAGTGTGTCCTTGAAATTGCAACAGACTCTTGCTTGCCCCGTCTTCTTTGGGACAGCCAGAATCGGGCTGTTAAATCCTCGGCTGTCGTAGCATCTTTGGATGATCGTGTCTTTAAGCATGCCCGAGAGCTCGTCATCTACGCAAGCTTGAAACTGCTGTGCGATCGGGTGTTGCCGGCGAGCTGCTGTTCTGCCAGGAATCGTAGGTTTTCGCGCATATTCTTTGAACATCCCGACTGGGTCGCCCTCGACGCAGAAAACCTTCCCGCATTCGTCGACAAGTAGAGCACAAGTAACTTTTTCTTCGCTGGTGAGATGTTCTATCGCCTCGATATCCAGTTTTTTAGTTTCCTTTAATTTCCGGAAAAGCGCACTCGGCTCAATCTTGGCGGTGAAAGCCGAACTTAAGGCATAATTAACCGTCGACATAAGTTTGTTCGACGACTTGCTGAAAATTTTAAGCCCGTCAATATCAGGTAGGCATTTTACGTCCTTGTGATCGAAAATTATATCTCTTCCTAGCAGCATGGGAATCTCGTTTTCGATGATAAAGATTTTGACGTCCGAGAACCGGTGGCCGCCGATATCGAGATGAGAGTTGAGGAGGCCAACCAAACGTCCAGCACCGATTCCAGCGACTTTGCCCTCGTATGGCTCTATATTATTTGCCAGCTGCGGTGGAACATCCCGTTTTAATATCATTGTTATTGAGCTGCCAGTGTCCACGAGCGCATTGAAAGAGAAGGATTTACCGGTCGCCGCGCTTATTTTTAAATTGACCCGAGGTTGAAATGCCCCGGTGTATGCTTGATTTGTGCTTTCGTTGGTAATAACAGGGTCTGACGCGTAGCACGCGGCGTCAGCCCTTAGCAAAAATCCGTTCGTCGGTTTGAGATGAACATTGTCTCCTTTCTCGCCTCGTCCTCGGAAATCTCCTTGTCGCTTGCATCCAGCTGGTGCTCTTCCTCTTCGTTGTTTACATACGCTTGTTTCTTGAAGCCGCCTTTTTTATTAAAGCGATTTCCTCTAGAATTAGTTGAGCCTCCGCCCGAGCTACCATACTTCTTGTTGTCCGCGTTGGATGCGCTTTTTCGGTCATTTTTTGGCTGTCGTTTTGGCTCTTTTTTGATACCGGCCACCTCTCATACTTCGCCCGTAATAAGTTGAAATTTCACCTCCGCCTCTCTGGGTCTGGTAGTACTCGGCTTGCTCTGCGAGGTTCCCGGCATTAGATATCTTCTTCCAGACTGGGGCCATCGAGTTGTACAAATCATTGTGATGTACCTGGATGATAGTGGCCATAATCGACGCTCCAACGTGGTCCATGAGGCGGTCCACAGTTAGCGGCTCGACAATCTCGATCCCAACAGCAGGCTCGTTTCCAGCTTCCTGCTTCAATGCCTGTTTCTTAAGGCTTTTTTCGATTGTCGTCTTCGCCGCTTCAAGATTAAGGCTGATCTGCGTCGCCAGTTTCTTGAAACCTTTACGTTTGTCGTAAGGCGTATTGAGTGCCCGCTGTAGACTTTGTATCGCCGTAATTCCTCCACTGAAATTCGCGAATATTTCCTTCTTGAGCTCCTCCCAAGATTTGTGCCCGTTTCCCATTCGATGAGTCACATGTAAAGAGCATCGCGATTTGACGTCAACAATGAATTCTTTTTCGAGTTTCATGTTGGGTTTTACGCTCAAGTCTAATACCTTCTGGCAGCGCGCGATAAATGTATTAGTGCTCTCAAAGGAGCCACCTTCGAAAATTGGGACGTCGCCCAGCTGCGTCCTGATAGAGCTTAAATCGCACTGGTCCTTCCTGGAGAAGTCTCCGCCGTCGAGGTCTTTTGCTGATTCGATTAACTTCCCTCGCAGCGATTTTATTTTTTTCTCGATGTCTTCTTTTTTTGTTGCGTCGGACTTCACCTCGTCACAATCGAGGAGTTTTTCGTAGATTTCAATTTCTTTGGCTTGTTCTTGAGCTCTCCCCATGTTAGCGGTGCGAAGTAGAAATCAATTTTAGTTCTGGCAATGACAACGGATTCTCGTACCTTTCTCTCGCACCCTTTATTAATTTCTCTGAAAGGGTGACCCTCGCGGGATTTTGTTACGTGGTTTTCAGGATAACGAATCTCTCGGCCAATCGGAACACAGACGTGGATTCGTATCGGAAACGAACTGGTACCAATATGTGGGATCAGCGAACTGAGCTGGGACTTTATTGTTAAGTCGGTAAGTTGAGAATGCCGGCTCTCTTACTCGAGGAGCTGACGTTTAGCGGCAGGTGTGAGAGAAGAAAGATTGATTTCCAAATATGGAAATGGTGAAGGCACGGAAGTTACATAATAAAGTGGTGATCGAATAAGTACAGTCTGTCGAGTCCCACACGGCGATGAAAAAGGAAAACGTTATATACCTCCACCTTCTGCGACTAAGACTCTTTTTGGACCTCCACCAGCCTCAACAGGTTTGGGAGGTTTGGGCGGATTGTCGAAACTCAAAAAAGACTACAAGAGCAGTGATGAGGAGATCGAGAAGAAAACAATTGTCATTGAAGCCGACAACGACATGCAAGTTGTGATCAAATTTAAATCGGGTAGGAATTATTGAATTATTCGCATATTTATTAAATAATAGGACGTCAATTCAACATCACCAACGACGAAAACAAAGAAAACGAGAAGCCAAGAGCTTTTACTTTCTAGTTCATTTTTTTTCCGTTGTGCACCTTTACGTTTTTTACTAACCCTTGAGAATTAAACCATTTTTTTATATTAAGCGCTGAATCGGATAGCTTGTCTCGTTGAGTCGACGTATGAAGGAAGGAATGAAAACCATCATCCAGGTCCAACCGTTTTGATGGACAACGACAAGGTTGCAAGTGTTGCCGTGAGACCGCATTTTCTCGAGCTTGTTAAAGGTAGACATAAATTGAGGCGTTAATCAATGTTTGTAGATCCACTTCCATCCATCGAATCGTTGTCGAAAAACAAGGAGATTTGCAGAGTGATTCTTTCGCCTTCGGTTGTTTTGCAGAACGACAAATTCAGCCCATTGATTGAGAACGAGCGAAGATCGATAGTGGATTTTCACAACAAAATCGACGATCAAAACCTAGTCGACGTGCTCCATTATCATCTTCGTAGAAATTCGGCAATCTATCAAGCACTCAAAAGAACTCGTCAATTCAATCAATACAATTTTCCGCAAAATTGTGGAAAAAAGGTTTGCGAATCTGAAGAGCGGTGTCAAGCGGCAACAAACTTTGCCATGCAAGTCGGCGATGATTTTACGATAAGGGGAGTTCCATGGGATGAGCAGCTCTTCCTCGATGAAATGATGAACATGGAAAAAAGGTCTCGAATTTTACCACTGACGTCTGACTACTTTGTGTTTCTTTTCCAACCCGATATTTCAAACGATGTTGTCGTACAAGTTGAACCAGGCAAAAGTCCAGCGCCGAGCTGGACTCTTTCTCCATCAAGCTCATCTTCAACTCTTTCGCCTCAAACATCAGTGGTTTCACCCCCGGCAAAGTCCATCTTCACCGACTGTTCAATCGCCAGCGGCTCAACCAAGAGCCAGCTCACCAACCGTTCAACCTCAAACTGATCAATCGCCAGCGGTAGTCAGCTCGCCAGCGAGTCCATCACCAGCTGTTTAATCGCCAGCTCAACCACAAGCCAGCTCGTCGCCACAAACAATCGGCAACACACCCGGTTGTCAAGTCTTGACTCCAGTTACGACTCCAGTTCCAGCAGCGTCACTTCCACCACCTCCTCCACTGATAAAGAGGCCTGACAAAAGAGATCGAAGCCCGGATGAACCAGCTCAACCGAAAAAGAGAGGAAGAGGACGTCCGCCCAAAGATCCAAACGCTCCGAAAAACTATAACAGTGCGAATCGAAAGAAAAAGGCCGAGGAAAGAAAAGCAGCTTTGAAAAAAGCTGTTGAGGAAAAAGCTGAGGAAAAAGCTCTAGAAAGAGCTGCAGAAAGAGCTGCAGAAAGAGCTGCGAAGGAAAAAGCTGCGAAGGAAAAAGCTGCGAGAGCTGCGGAGGAAAGACCAAAAGCGAAGAAATCAGTCAAACTTTTTTTATCAGACGACACACTCCAATTTCGTCGAATTGCTGCTTCTGGAAAAGCTCCGATCCTAAACGTTCGCACCGGTCCTTCCATTTAATTCGACACTTTGGACGATCTTCCCCAAATGGAGCGCGTTGTGGACCTCCAAGGAGTTATCGATCCTGAAACTCAAAAAGAGATTGATAAGGTGAGGATTCATTCGACTTATTCGTTTTATTAAAAGTGTTTCGAATTATTCAAAAAATTCAAATAATTTCGAATAATTCAAATTATTCGAATAATTATTCGATTTATTCGAAAAATTCAAATAATTTCGAATAATTCAAATAATTTCGAATAATTCAAATTATTCGAAATAATAATTTAGTTGGACTCGGAAACAATGCGCAAAATGATCAAAGTCTGTGAGAACAAGTTGCCGGATTTGAGCGACGACGAGGACAACGACGACGATGAATTGAATCGGGATTTGCAAGAGAGGTTCATCAACGAAGACGCTACAATTCATTTGAATCGATACGCTCTTCGAAACTTGCTTGCTCAAAGCGCTCAATGTGTTGTCGGGATCACTCCTTGCCTTGGGAATTCACGCATTGGCGCCTGGATGCAGAGAGTCAGCCAGGCTTTTTATGAATTAAAATACAAAAACGATTATCCACCACCGTCTTACATGATTTTCCTGGAGACGTTTATCGACACACCTGTTCACAACTTCATATGCTTCCACACCGTTGAGGAATTTGGCGGACCAACTAAACCGTGGATCAAACTTGGCTGCATGTCCGTCATTTGGTCCCAAGATCTTGTGGATAATTTTGTTATTCAAGATTTAAGAATCTGGGTAAATTTAATTATTTTACATCATTTAATGAAATTTGGTTTACTTCGAACCAGAATCGTTGAAACTGGTCAGCATGCAAGATCCACAACTTGGCAATCCCGGATTTTTGCTGGCGACTTTGAACGAACAAGCTGCTACGATTTGGCCTTGGCCGAAAATTGGACGTGACGATTTCGCCGAACATAAATGCGCTCTCCTCCTTGCTATCGGATTCAAACTTTCATCAGTAACACCTCCTTATGCAAAAATTGCTGAAATTCTCGAAAGCAAAGAGGTAAAAGAAAAACTCGAGCTCTCATAAACAAATTAAGGTTAAACAATCACTTGGTCACGAGCGTCAACTGCGACCACCTTCACTTCACCAAGTTCACATGGTTGGGTCATACATTGAAAACTGCCTGTATCGAACCGCTGTCGACCGAGCTGCCAATCGAATTGTACAGAAAAACTCACAGAAAAACTATCCCCGACTACAAACCGAGTATCGTCGTATTGCAACTGCGATGATGTTCGGTTTTTGCCCAAAAACAGAAGAAGAACGCGTCGAAAATGTCTTACGAATGGCCAATTATTATTTGCCGGCTAGTCTTTACGAAGAAATGGGCCACGAGAACGTGCTCGGTATCTTCAGCCATCCTAGCCCATATGATACGAAAATCGACACTGAAGAGGTTCACAACAATGCAGATTTGTCATACGCTCTTAAAACCATCGAGGCGTCACTTCCATCCGTCTTCAAGAAGAATTCCAACCACTTCTCATCTCAGGAAGCGATTTTGTTGTTTCTTGAAGGAAACGCGCTCGTTCCTTTCACGGAAAAAATTGCGGTCGCGTACATGGTAATAAATTTAAAAGGGAAAAAAACTAACAATTATTTAGTTTGGAAGCAATAGAATAGATGCCGACAATTGCCGATGGCAGTGCTGGTTTTCTTATCCTTGGGAAGACCTTAAGCGATTGAAGACTCCTCAAGGCCGATACGCAAAGGAGCTCATTCGCCAGACGATTGAAAAGAAGAAAAAAATCACTGCGAAGGAAACGGAAGAAGCTATTGAAAAAGCTCAGCAAGATGGTCAAACTCAAATCGAAGCGTTGAAGAAGGCTTACGTCCGATTCCACCGAGGTAAAAATTTTGTTTTTTACGCTATGGTCTAAAAAATGCGCTACCTAAAAAAATGTGTGCTACTAAAAAATGCGTACACTAAAAAAATGTGGACGTTAAAAATGTGCGTACCTTAAAAAAATGCGACTTTTTTTGAATTTATCTTCTGGCCGCTGAAAAAAAAACCAGCACATTTTTTTAGGTAGCACATTTTTTTAGTGTACGCATTTTTTAGTAGCACACATTTTTTTAGGTAGCGCATTTTTTAGACCATAGCGTAAAATACGCTATTTTTAGAGTTTTTGGACGGCGACGAAGCTTATAAAATCTACGATCATAACGCCTTGCACATGGCAGACAATCACGACGACGAGGACAACGATGACGACGCCAACGACGACACCGACGATGACGCAAAGAATGACGACACAAGCGAAGCCAGCGATCTGACTGAAAATGAATCCGACTGAACCGATTATTGATGATTCGAGTTTAGAATGAAAGTCGGACTTTTTTTGATTCGAATCGTTGCATGTCAGTTCACCTACGAGCGATTGAAGAAGAAATGTAGACGAAATCCAGGTGACTGGATTTGTCAAAAATATTTTCCGCCAGAACCAGTTCAACCTCCTGTTGTCGAGCCGGTTGAGCCGAGTACCAGACGCGTATCACCTGTGGTAGAGTCGACTCAGCCCAACAATACTACTACTACAACTGAGGAGCCAACTACAGTCGAAGCAATCGAGACAATCGAACCAATCGAGACAATCGTGACAAATCAGACAATCGAGACAATCGTGACAAATCAGACAATCGAGGCATCAAATGGGACGAATTCGACGGCTGAGCCAATGCTTATGATTATAAATAATAGGTAAGTCGTGCAGATAGTCAACTAATTGAAAGATTTCTAATCACTCTTGGGAAGCTGTTTGTTGTTCTTCTTTGCCTGTTTGTGCTCTCGTGCTGCTACAAATGTTACAAGAGGGGCGCGCTCAATGCATTCAACGAGTGCTGTAAATGCTGCAAGTGCGAGATTGAGGATGACCGAGAAATACCACTTGAAGAACAAGGTATGAACAAATCCATTTCAAATAAACATTTTTAGGCGGACAGCAGCAAGAAGAGCCACCGCAGCAAGAAGAGCCACAGCAGCAGCAGCAAGCGCCACAACAAACTCAACAAGAAGAACAGCAAGCAGAAACTGATCCTTTGATCAACACATCCAATATGGAAGTTGAACATCCACTTGCGATTCCACCTGTGCCAAAACCAGTGCGAACAGATGAGCGAGCTCCACTTTTGCCCAATTATTGGAACACTCAATCACTTCAACAACAACAGAACGTTAACAACCTCACAGTCGTAAGTTTTCATCTGCAAACTCGCGCGCACACGTAAGCGTACTCAAACTCAAGCGTAGATTTCGTAGAAATCTTAAGCGAGAGTTTTAACAGTCCCGCGCGCACTGCGATCCTCCGACCCTTCGGGCCCGGTCCAAAGTCTTGGACCGATTTGGCTCCTTGGGTCGTACCGACCCGTTCGCCAAATTGACTTATTCAAATTATTCGAATAATTGGAATTATTTGATTTATTTGATGAATAATTCAAATAATTTGAATTATTCGATGAATAATTTGAATAATTCGAAATAATTAGAATTATTTGAAATATTGACAAGGATTTTAGTTCAATTCACTCACCAACTTGAGCCCAACTTCAGCTGCCTATGTCAAGAACGCTTTGGAGAATCGACAGCAAGAAAAACTTATGCTGTCCAATTAACTTTTAAATTATTAGAGGTTGATTTTTTTCAGTTTGCATGAATGAATCGAAGCCCGACTGGTGGTGTTCCGCGTCCGACTCTGCAGTTACCGATGGTCTCGCCGCTGCCATCAATAACGGACTCGGACTCATGTTCCCTGACACCACCACCGACTCCATCCCCTCGACCCCGATTTCGCCGACACCAACCGAGATACGAGGATGTGATGAGGAGCCGGTTGGACAGATTCCTCAAGAAACATGTCACCACTCTGTTGATTTTGGCACTGATGGTGATGGTCATCTGCACGTCAGCAATGGCATTCAGCAACAATCTGAAATTGCAAGCAGCACTGCGACTACTCGAGACGTGCGACAATCAAACAGTGATCAACTGGCTAGCCGAAACTCTCACCAAGGCGCAAGGTACATCAATTTGTAAGCTTTTTATTTATGTTTAGGCGGGTGCGGCTAATTGGTGAAATGGATGAACGAAGGGATAAAATCATTTCTCAATTGATTTATCGAATGAAAGGGTGTTGGTCTCTTTTACGTTATTCCAGTCAATTTCAAATCAGCAAATCGAATCTCTTCACTTGATGTCAAGACAAAGAAGAAAATGCTTCAAGAATTGGAAGATGTCAAACTTGTTGGAATACGATCCCCTATGCAAGTTGTGCCTTGGTCCAAGTCTTTTCATCAAATGGAGCGATTCCAACTTGCTCATTACCTCTTTGATATCAATTCACTTCTTATGGAGAATCCACGTCTCAACAATCTCAATGGACTCTTGACAATTGCTGAATTTGTATTCACCCAACTTAAGGCCACTTTTCAAATTAGCTGTCATCCAAAAAGTGGCCTTAAGTTGGGGTTTTACTGTATATTTTATTATTTTTTGACGTCATTAGAATTCTCAGGACTTAAGCTTTTGGTAGACCCCTCAACCGCGGCAAACCGCCCGGTTAACCGCGTGGCTCACCGCGGTTCATTTCCTTAGGCATAGTATACATACCAATATACATATCAATCGACTTCTTTTACGATGCTGGATTCATTTTTGAGCATTAAACTACATAACCGCATGGTCAAGCGCCCGGTAAACCGCGTGGTTCTCCGCGGTTTATTTCCTCAGGCACAGTATACATACCAATATACATATCAATCGACTTCTTTTTCGATGCAGCATATCGACGATATTATATACATATTATTATACATTATACAGTGAAAACTCAAAAATTGGCCGGTTTTCAGATCCAAATTTCCGAAAAAAGCGGCCAAATTTTGATTTTTTTTGCCGGGTAGCCAAGCTTCCTCTTCAAAAAACCAAAGTTTCGAAATTTTCGAATTCGGGCATGATTTTCACGTTTTTGATGAATTTTATTCAATTTTTTTGCTTGTTCTAAGTCATTTTTATCAAAATAAAGTTATTTTAGATAATTTAAACGCTTCAAAATGGTCAGAAAGACCATAATTTGGGTCTATTTTGATGCAAATTTTTATATTTTTTAACAAGCGGCCAATTTTTGAGTTTTTTTCAGATTCAAAATTCAGCCAATTTCGATCAAAACCGGCCAAATTAAGAGTAGGCAAATTTTGAGTTTTCAAAACCGAAATTTGTCAAAACTGAGAATTTTTCAAAACTGAAAAACTTTCAAAACTGACTTATTGTTTGAGCCCCGTTTCTTGAATCCAGTTTGGAGAGGGCCAAGCCGACACAAAGACGATGCCAGCCTTGTTTTTCGAATCCAGTCTAGGGGTTCGGCTTTGCCCCTTCCTTGACTGGATTCAAAAAACAGGGCTTGTCTCATCTTCGGGTCAGCCTTACCCTAACCCTAACCCTAGAGTCGGCGTGGCGTAACCCTAACTTGATTCGAGAAACGGGGCTGGCCTTACTTTCGGGTCAGCTTGGCCTCTTCTTAAACAAGATTCAAAAAACGCGGCTGGTTTTCCCTTTGGGTCGGCTTGGCCCCTTCCCAAACTTCTTTAACGAACGGGTCTGGCTTTCCCTTAGGGTCGGCTTTGCTACATCCTAAACTAGATTCAACAAACGAGGCTAGTCTCCCCTTTGGGTCGGCTTGGCCCCTTCCCTGGCTGGACTCAAAAACAGACCTGGCCTCCCCTTTTGGATGGCTTGGCTCCTTCCCTAATTGGATTCAAAAACAACTTTTGTTCGGGTCGGCTGTAGACCGGTCGGTTAGCCAAGTAGTTCAGTTCAAATATCTATAAAAAGGACACCTTATGAGGGTTGTACGCGGTTATCTGTGTACCTGTACCCGTGAATGCTCTTTTTTGTTTCGTGGGTACCACGGACCCGTGAATGCTCAACTTTGGTTTCATGTGTACCAGGTACCCGTGAAGGCTTTTCTCAACGTTCGCGTGTACCAGGTCCCCACGAACATTAGTTTTGACTTTCATGGGTACCCATGACCCGCGAACATTGTTATTAAGTTTCCTGGGTACCAAGCAGCTGCGGTTGGTAGAAATTTTTCTAGACCTTGTTTTGACTCAGTCAATATCAACCTATTAAGGTCGACCTTTCTATCTTAATCTAAGCCCCTTACCTCGGGGCTCCGCCCCTTCGGGCCTAAGATGCCGGGGTCTAGTCTAGGGTTACTTAGGGTTACCTTCAGTCAACCTTGAGTTACCTTGAGTCAAGGCAATCATAAGTTGGAGCTTATCATTAATTTTAAGATGAGCGCTTTTCCATTGTCTTCTATCTTCTGAGTCTCATGAAAGTTGAAAAGCGTTCGTAAGACTTCGGTACCCACGAGCTTTGAAAATAGCATTCGCGGGGACCTGGTACACACGAAACTTAAAGAGAGCGTTCGCAAGTACCTGATACCCACGAAACTGAAATTTAGAATTCACTGGTACCGGTACCCATGAAACTAAAATAGGAGATTCACGGGTATGGTACACAGATAACCGCATACCACCCTTATGAGTAGAGAAGCATTTTGATATAAATTTTTAGCATTTCTAAAAGCCGTCAAGCCCCTTAAAATTAAAAATTTGTCGAAAATTTTCTTCTTCCAGGAGCACTCTTCCACCAGAAAAGCCCTCCGAAGGACAAAAAAGGACTCACGCTAGATCACATGATCAGTGTTGATCATTTTATTTGGAAAAAATGGTTTGAAAAAAAAATGTCATCGTCGGGATTCGAACACCCCTCTTGGCCAAAAGTGAAGGATTTTGACAGAAAATCGGCTCTAGAATTTTTTCCTCACGAGACCACAAGATCATATGACTATCACTTGAAAGCGCTTGATCTGCTCTTTTATATGCTGGAAAATTACGAGGTAACCTTTTGGCACTTGTTTTCTACAGGCAAAAATATGTTTTGTCTACCCTTGTCACGCGATTTTTGGGGTGAAAATGTGCTTTTTGGGTTTTCTTTTAATGAAATTAAATGATCATTAGATGAAAACCAATCTTTTTGTAAGGTTACAATATAGATACATGTACTTTTAAATTTGCCGATTTTCCCACTGTGAACCCCCTAACCATACCAAATGATGCATTCCGTAACAGCTTGTGACTGTCGATTACTTCTTACGAATAATCATACGTAGGGTTTCTCACGGGAAAATGGTATTTATCACTTTTTTCTGAAAATTTCATCGTTAGCTTAATTTGACCCGCTGATTCTAAAAATACAAAAATCAGAGGCGCCGGTCGACGTTTTGGTGGTGCAGCGCGCGCTGTCTTGGCGCACTTGGTGCAAGGGAGATTTTTCAGTGAAAATTTCCCAAAATAGTTTTCTATGGGATTTTGAACATGGTGAAACTAATGGTTATTTTTGTTAAATAACAATTATTATTATACAGCAGTATCTAACATTATATCCATTAACTATTTCATGGGATACAAGGTACTTCGGCTCTGATTTCTCTAGAAAAAAAGTAAGAATAGTCTGCTTTGACTTCTTTTTTAAATCTCTGGAAAAGTTCGGACTCCTTCTGCCGAAGGAATATGTTTTTTTTGTGAATCTTTAACATTTCTGCAAACCCATGTTCAGAAACTAATTGACAATTAGCATTTTTCGGCATTTTCGAGGGTAAGCCGCATTATTTACAATGAAATTATCATGTTTAAATCGGAAATCCCCCAATAATTGCATCGAACCACTTTATTTCGTCACCTTCTACAGAAAGGTTCGGACTGCTCTCCGGGGGAGTGAGTAAATATACGCGTTTTCAGGCCAGGCGCTGACCCCGTGCGCGACTCCAGCGCGCGCAATGCCAAAAAGTTCTAGTTAAATGCGGATTTCTGGGTGACCGGCTATTTTCGGCTATCCAAAAATTTTAGAGGTGAATTTTTTATGCTTGAGATTGATCATATTCAAAAATCGAGACTGTGTCTGAGTGTGTTCAGTGTTAAAGTGAGGATTTTTCACTAAAATTGCCATTTTTTAGCCTTTTTTTCAAAGAAAACTAAAAATTTGATAGCATATTATTTATCCTCATCCTCGATTTAGTATTGTCCTTAATTTTCATATAAAACCCATCAGAAAAAGTGATAACGGCAATCGCGGTCAGAAGGCGTTCCGAGCCCCGCGCGCTCCCGTGAAAAACCCTAATCATACGTCAAGTCCGATCGATTTTTCGAAATTGGTTACGAAATTCTCTGAGGCCAAACCGCAGGAATCATTTGACGACATCGTTAGTTTACTAAGAAAGACCTCACCCTAGAACTTAACCCTTAGCCTTTGAAAAAGTAGCTCAAAGTTGACCAGCACCGCCGTGGATTGCACCACAGACACAAAATCCACCAACAACAACTCCGACGACAACAACTCCAACAAACACACGACAACATCAACAGCAATCACATCCTCACCAACAACAACCTCGACGACAGCAACCTCACCGACAACAATCTCGATGACCACAATCAGCAACATTCTACCGACCACGACCTCGCCACCTACTTCAACAATGTCAACTTAGCCGCTCATAACGCCGCCGCTGTCCTGTATCTCATCCTTGCCATTTTAACACCGAAACCCGCCGTACTTTCCGTCAACAACCTCATCAACGTTATCTGTATCGCCGCTACCGCCTTCGCCAATCCCGCTTCAAACAACTACTAACCTCTCCTCTTTCGCCGATTTCCCCTTTTCAATATACCGACCACCTTCCTCAGCAACTTCAACTCCAGACAATTACCCGACAACAGCTTGGATTCCGACTTCAACCATCCCATCTTAAGGGTGTCAACAACGATTTTGCCAATTTTATTACCACAGTTTAGGTACCTTCCTGATATTTGATTTCATATTTTTTTAATAGAAATAATAGCTAAGACCCTAAACTCTCTGATAAATTTGGCGGAATTTTTATTTTGTAGTCCGTTAATCCCTACCGCGACATCAAAAGTCCGCTTAAACAGGAATTTGACTGAACTTATTAGCACAGATCGGTATGTTCCTCAAAATCAATTTCTTATATTTTTCGCAGAGTGATAGTGCACCTGTGCACCCTGTGCAGTCAGACTACTAACTCCTGCGGACTATCTTCGTCGCCGATACAATCGCCGCCCTTGATACGCCGCTCCCATTTGCTCAACAAATCCGATTTCTCTACGACTGTACATCTTCATCTCTTTTTTGCTATCTTTTAACTCATCTTCTGTTTTAATTTCAACAAAACTCACCTTCTCCGTTTTTGTGCGCTACTCTCTAAATCATTATTTACAGTCTAGATTTAATCGTATAGAACTTAGGAACATGTCCTCTTTCCCTAAGTGGGGGTAGGGTGTAGTATTCTAGCTTTAGCCCTAGTTTAAGCTTGTCAATCAAAGCCTTTTAATAGCTTGATCAAAGCCCCATCACGCCCCACTTTCTCTGCACTCCCGCTGACTCTTACGTTTTGTCATCTGTTCCTTTACGCTCCTCTTTTTTTACACGAGTACTAGCGGCACACTCGTTCGGACTCAATAACTTCGGCCAGAATATATAAGAAAAAAGCCTGATAAAAACGAAGAGGGAAACTTAGAAAATTAGCCGACAGAACTATCGGATGCGTCGTAAGAAATTGAAAAGGTTCACCGCAGGAGCATCCTTACAGTCATTTGGGACATTCGGAAACATAACAAGGGCGTTCCAAAAAAAGTTTTTGCTCATCTTATTGAAATTGTGCTCGCCTTTTTTGCTATTCAGAGTAGCCTTTTCATGACAATTTTATTTTTGAGTTCGTTTTTATTGCAGGCTTAACGGTTGCAAAATGAGTAGTCTCGAAAAGCTATCCTTCTGTTCTATCAGTAAAGGCTTAGAGCAAAAATGAGTAGTCTCGAAAAGCTATCCTTCTGTTCTATCAGTAAAGGCTTAGAGCAAAATGAGTAGTCTCGAAAAGCTATCCTTCTGTTCTATCAGTAAAGGCTTAGAGCAAAATGAGAAGTCTCGAAAAGCTATCCTTCTGTTCTATCAGTAAAGGCTTAGAGCAAAAATAAGAGTTCAAAATCCAAAAATTTTAATTTTGTTTCGATCGGATATTCGACTGTCACTTTTATTTTTTCATTTAAATTTTGAAAGACGTTTAAAATTTCATCTAAATGTCCTTTTTTATACACTAAAAACGTATCATCAAGATACCTTTTGTATGAATGAATGATTCCGCACTGAATGAACTGATCAACTGATTTACGTTCTAAATAGTCTAAAAACAGATCGGCAAGTTTCGGAGACACTAAGTCGCCCATCGAAAGACCCTGTAGCTGTCTGTATTCTTTATCGCAACATCGAAATGCGGTATATTTTTGTAAAACAGCCTTAAGTAATTAAATTAAAGTACCGAAACCATTTTGGTGCCTCTGAAAATCACTAAAAATTCCAAATTATTGTTTATCTCTAGAACACTGGAGAGCATCAGTTATTTTTTGCTCAACGAATACTAGTTCGTCCTCAACTCCGAGACGGTAGGTAGTTATGTTTGGGTTACTTTTTCAGATAGTTTAGTTCTCTGCACTGAAGATGGTCCTTTGACCGAAATCGATCTGCAAATAAACTCCTTTACTTCATTTATCAACTTTGTATATTATATATACAGTATATGCTTATTTACATGAAAAAACGTGCCCCGCGAAAACTCATTTTTACAAAGAGGAAAAACTCACTGTATTTGATCAAGTTATTTTTAAATTGAACTATTTTGTTTTAATTTCAGAGAATAATGATCGCATTTTCTTTATTGATATTTTTTTTAATAAACCGATATCAATGACTTACTCGATTTAAGGGACAAGGCCGAGTGAGCGCCACGCGCTATTTTGTCACTTTTGTAGGAGGCCTGAATTTCTTATTCAAATTAGATAAAATTTGGCATACGAACCAAAGTTTTTATTTTCTTTCTAAGTTTTGATCGAAAAACATAAGCTAGAATTCAAGTATACATAAGTACCTTAAATATTCGGATTGACAGTTTCAGCCCTAGTTCATTGATAAGCCCGTGGTCTTTTCAAAAAAAGAAATCATTTTTCGTTGCTAGGTTTTCTCCAAAAAATTGATACACGCTCCCTAGAAATGTCCCACCAAAATCGCCTATAAAAATTTTTTTTGAGGAAGAACTCGATCGTAACCTTTTAATCTTCCTTCGAAAGACAAATAAAATTTCTAGGGCACGGAATCAACCTTTAATTTTATCTTTTTATAGAAAATTTATATTTTTGATCAGAAACTAAAACTAACTGACAGAAAAAAAAGAGAATTTTGGTGAACAAAATTGTCCATAAATTTCATAGAATCACTTAAAAAAAGTCCCGAGGAAACTAGTTCAAATTAGAAAAATGTCCAAAAGTTGATGTCCAAAAATTCCATCAAAAACTGTATGTCGTAGAGACCTTGACCTTTTTAGTGGACTTGTTTTCATAGTGCCAATCCGAGTATTACTTATGTACACTTGAAATGGGGGCTATTGAATAGCACAGCCTTGCGCCGCCCTTTGCCGCCCGGTTCGGTGGTGCTACTTTACGCGCGCGTTTTTTATTCTACACTTGAGTCATTTTCAAATTTCTTTTTGCACGGCGGCGGAATTTTCCCGAACCATTCGAGATATGCCCGAACCATATCGGGATTCTTCGAATGGTTCAAATGGAATTCTCGAGTGTTAATAATTCAGCTCGTAGGCACGATATGAAAATTCTAAAGATCGGAGTGGAGAGATGTAGTGCTTTATTCTATTGTATGACTTTTGCAGCCTCATTCTTAAATCGAGCTTGCCCTAGGGACCGAACGCAAATCGGACCAAAATTTAGTTCTGAGAGTTATGAATGAAAAAAGGGGTATTGTAATTGTGTTCTTAATTTTTTTCCAATCCCTTCCGTTTCCGAGATAATGACCTTCGGAAGAATTAAAATTTCAGGAACGAACCACTTTCAAGCGCGCAGTCGTACTCTGATGGTGACGCTCCGGGGCGAGAAGCTTTTGCCGCGACGCGTTTCGAGTTTTCACTGCGAGCGAGCCCGCGGTTCCACCAATAGAAAATAAAAATAACAGTGTCCAGGCAGGATTCGATCCCACTCTACCAATGTATTGGCAATGTTACCCGACCCTATCCGATACTAACTAGGACATGGGTAGAAGTCTCCAATTGTGGCAGGGTGAAAAAAAAATTTTTTTTTCTGAATGGCTCATCTGAAAGAGCTTCTCAAACTGTATAAAAAACGTTTTTACAGTCTGCCCAAATCTTTGAAATTTTCGAGATTTGGACTTGTCAGAGGTGGAAATTCCGAAATTTTAACTGCTCGTAGAGCAAAATTTTTCCATAACAAATTTTTTTTTCTATTTTTTTTCGGAAACTCTATAGTCGAATCTATGTGCTCGCGAAAATTGAAGCAGATCGGGCAACATTTGGGCTGCAAAAATTTTTTTTTGAGGATTAGTTTTGCATTAATTTTGCAAATATAAAGCATATACTTTTATTTAATTACAAACTACAAAAAATTAATCAAATAATGCTCTAAAGTCACTTGAGGTCATTTGAGGTCATCTGAGGTCATTTGAGGTCAACTTTTTTTTGCCGGTAAATTACATATTTTTATTTATTTGAAACATGAAAACGATTATTTTATCAATTTTAAAAACAAAAAATAATTTTTATACCGTGCATATGTGTAAGATGCAAATAAAAAAGCACTTTAAACTAAAAAGAATGAGGCATGTTGTGTTTGTTCCTTCTCGTTTTGTTCTTCTTTTAAAAATCTTCTCAGTCAGAAAATCCAGGCATTCTGCGATGAAAATTTCCTTAATATTTTTAAAATTTAAAAAATAAAGATACAAGCAATTACTTTTTTTTCTCGACGGCATAAGAGAGAGTTTAGAGCAGTCAAAGAAGATTGTTTGACGATCTGAAACTTTAACACTGAGGATTTCGACCATATTTTTCATGTTTATAAATACCTTTCTTTCGTTTAGGAAGACTCCGTGGTTCTGGATAACTGTCATTCGCTGTTAAAATTTGTTTTTCGACGCTCTATTAAAAATAATTTAAAAGGCAAAGATTTCAGATAGTAAGATATTTGAAGTTACTGTAAAATATTCTTTATTTAAGGACTTGTTTGCTTAATATCCATTTTTCGAAAAGAATGATGCCGGGGGCAGGGTCCTTAAATCTAAGCTTCTATGAGTATCCTCAATTTTACCTGAATAATTGAGACGATTAATTGACGAGCATAATTGTCTTTCAGATGAACTTTATCTGGCGAAAAAAAATGCTGTTTGAGGCTTCTGAAGAATCGGTACTCAAAAACATTCAATTTTTTAGTTCTATTTCCAATTAAATGAAAACCTCTTCCTGTTTTACTCGATAATAGTTAGCTAAGCTAGGTACTTTTGCACTTAATATCTTCTTGAGCCATTTTTGTGTTGATTCTTCAATTGTTCTAAGCGGCTTAGCAAGTGGAAAAGGTTGAACAAAGAGGATTTTTCTTGCATTCGTAAACAGCGATGTAAGGGTTCTATGTAAAACCTTTGAAAAGTTCTTTTATTTTTATTTTGTTAATTATCTTTATAATCGGACATAGATAAAAAAAATGTTCTTGCGACGATTTAGATAGAGAAAGAACTATCCTGAATTGCTTTATCTAGGTCAACATCTTGGAATGCCAGTGTTGATGCCTTCAGAATATTGTTGTGTCCAGCATAGACTAGAACTGTTCCGGAGACGCGCGAATGACAATTTGTATGGCAATTTTCGCATAAAAATCTCTCCGGTAGATTTTCACCATAGTTCCAGGCATTCCGGCTCTTGATTTGAAGAATTGGTCTTCTTTCCTCATCGCAGATTTGTCCTACTTTCATCAGGACTGCTAATTCAGTTAAACAGGCACCAGAATATGACGTAATAATCCAGTTTTTTTTCTTTAATTTGTGTTTTCCGAAATATTTTATCTAAAGTGGTGTTTGAATAATTTCTTACTTTAGCTAATGAAACACATATATAAGGGGACTCCGCGGAAAACCAAAAGCAGGTCGCACCCTCATATTTTGAAAATTTTTACGCGTCTACTTAAAGATCTCAAGATGCTCATTCAGAATCGCGATTAAAAATTGTATCGGGGGCATCGGGATATAGATATGATGGCCGCCGAAAAGAGGCCCACAAACCATAAAATCGAATTTTTCTCGAATTCCCAATACCCCCGATATGATGTTTATTCGCGATTCTGAACAGGCATATCAAGAGCTTTAAGAAAATGTGTTCAAAATTATCTCTCCATAAGGACGCCCCCATTAAAGTATTTTTTCCGCGTAGACCTAACTGTTCTATCATCTTTTTATATTCAAACAGTCCTGTGAATCTCCGAGAAGGAAATTTGTTTTTTCGTATCCGAAGAAACATGGTCGGCGCCAGCACTCTCGTTCATGCCCTTTGAACCATAAAGACTCCATAACTAATGTATGATATTAAGGATAGAACATGGATATTATGGATAGAACATCGGCTGAGCGCGGCTGCCCGTTTAGCGCCCCGCCATGACCGTTTTTTCAGAGACCCGTCAAATCTGAACGGTAAATGATTTTATCTTTATTATTTTTGCTTTATGATCATCAAAGCCTATTCTTTTATACAAACAATTTGAAAATATCAAAATGGGATAACTTGGTCAAAGTCTCGGAATGAGAGCGACTCTTTCAAAGCCCTCTATAAAAATCTAAAGATTTATTTTGAAACTCAGACTAGAAATAAAAGGAAAGTAGAAGTGAAATAGAAGACTAAAAGTGAAGAAGTCGGAGCTCTACAAAATCGAAGAATATAATTCATCGTTCAGATTAGACGGGTCTCTGAAAAATAGATAACGACGGGGCGCTAAACGGGCAGCCGATCTTATATTTTACGCTTAAGATGGAGAAAACAATTTTTCAATTAACTAGTTTTCCATTTTTCTAACATAGATATTGCGCTCATTTTTCTGACCTGTGTCGAGGCATCACCCATGTTCCGTTATGAGAACATACAGACAGTTTGAATCGATGATAAATATTAAATATCTTCTGTGTTTCAGGATTTGATTGAAGAATGGCTGTTTTATTTTATAGTCACACGGGCAATAAAAAAAATTATAAGCATTCTGAATTCAATGATTTGATTTCTTCTTTCTTTTGCCTTTCTTTTACTCACAGAAAAGAGAATTTCAAAAACAAGAATTAACAATTAGGAATATTTGTATTTAACAACGAGGAAAAAAAATGTAATCGTGATATTTCCAGATCAGGAAAAACGGACTCTTTTCGATTCAGCATTGACTTCACTTGAATGCTGTGCGACTCTTTTTGATGGAGTTGTTTTATTGCACACCCAATGACTTAAATTTATGAACTGTATTTATTAATATTGCCATACTTAATTTTTTTGAGTTGATTTTCCTTGATCTCAAGAATATTCGACGATGTTATTTCTGGTGTTCCAGCTTTGAATTCTTGCTCAATTCTTTAATAATTTTTATAAATAATTTTAAGCAACAAATAATTTTAAAGATTTTTTTTAACCTGTTGAGCACATAGACCGCGCAATCACGATTCGTTTGCGGAACATTTTCGCGTTTTTTCTTCCAAGGGCCCTGATCATTCAGAATTTTTCCAATAGTATCAAGAAGTTTTTTTTTCGAACTATCAATGGCGTTTTGATAATTTCCAATAGCCCCATTTGTATCATAGACAGTAACTGAGCGAGATTTGACATTAACGATCAAGAGTGCCGCGTGGTTTTCATCTTTTGATGACAGCAATAATGGTGCACAAATTTTTTTTCGTTTCTTAAGGCTTGGGTCATTATAAGTGCCTTGAGTCATGTTTCCGACGGAAGATGTAGGATATGAGCAAAAATCTGTTTCTCGAATTTTAAATTCGGACAAGATAACGATTTTGACCCCGGACTTTGGAAATTTCCGCTTTCAGAGAAGATTTTGATATTTCGCTTAAGAAAAACAGAAAATTAGGTTTTAAAGCTCTAGAGTCACACCTTTGGCGGGCCACAGGGTAGAGGATACTGACTGTTTTATTTGTATTTTCTAATCTTAAGAGCGCAATCTTAATCAGGGTTCTCTAGAGCATATAGCCCTGTTTTAGTTAATGACGTTCGGTCGTTAAAACCCTTAACTGAGCTTGAATATCTGTTGCAGAGTAGACGTAATCGCTGATTGTTTGTTTGTTTGATAATTCTCGAAGATTGACGGGTCTTCTTTGAGGCTGATTTTTATTATCAATAATTATTGTTCCGTCTTTCTGTCCGATTTTTCTGGAAAATGTGTTTCCAGAATTTCGAACACAGAGACTAATTTTTCCACTGGAACAGAGATCGCAGCTGCAGACTATGTCTTTTGCATAAAGAGCTCCTCTTGCTGCGTCGAAGTTTATCATACGAATCGATTTAATTGACGGTATGTTGAGATTTACGGAAGATTTCGTGGTCTCTTCATTTTTATTCTTGAGAATGGCATATTCTCGCCCAGCAAAATTTTGTTTTGCGCGTTTTTCTTTTTCTTCTGTCCGCAGCTTCTGCTCATTTTCCTTCAAGAATCCGAGGCATTCATCAAGAGTACCACAGCGATTTACAAGTTTCGCATTTTTTATCGTGGTAGCGCAGTGACTATGGGCGCCATCGACGAGGCCTCAGAATTCTAGAATTAGTTTCGCGGAAAAAATACCTTTTCCATGGCGGCTGGTTTTGAAAATATAAGTTCTCCGCAGGCCATCGTTATTTGAAATGGCATGGTGAAAATGTTCCCTCGATTTGAATTCAGAGCTCGCATTATGTAAAACAGGGTTCGGGAAATTCAAAGATCTTATAAATCCGCAAGATCGAAATAGACCATTACCTACCGACGAGCCATAATGGAATTATCGTCAACATTAAAATGCAAATTTTAACCCTTTCGAACCCTTTCAGAAATCCTGTTAATGACTGTGAAATTTATGTTTCGATTTTTAAAATTTTCAACAATCATTTTTTCCGCCTCAATCGGCGCTCCGGCAAATTTCTTCTCCATAAGAAAATGAAAGTATTGCATTTTTTGTATTTCGTTTTCATTCCATCGAGCGACCGCCGTTAAAACGTTACAATTCAATCCAAGGCGCCCGGCTTGAAGATATTCATGCTATTTTTAGGGTTCATGTAAACAAGCCAAGCGAAATTAATGAATTTTCTGATCCCGAACTGTGACGCAGTATTATTTTGAAGAACAAACGTCGAGGCGTAGTCAAGCTTTCCACGGGTCTCAGAAAGTTCTTGCTTATAGACACACTTGACGTATTCATTCGATACAATTTAAGACCCTCGGCTCAAGATGAAGACTCCCTGGCTTAACATCTCCATGTTCATATACTTTAAGATCTTCTTTATTTCTGCTCTTGTCGATGCTATGGGCAAGTGTTTCTCTCGTCATACTTTTAAGCTGATCGAAGAATTGCCGTATTGGCATTTTACCGCGAGTTTCGCTACCAGAAACAAAAGCTGTCTCAGCTTTAACTCCAGCTTTGAGGAGTTCGAATCTGTCAAAGGCAACGGTCTCGTCAGGATGCATTTGTACGACTTTTTCGAATATTTCTCGATCAAAGTCTTCCATAAATTCATCCGGACCAACGCAACTCTTGTGAGTGCAGTCGCTGCAGGATGTTGAATTTTTTTGGGTGAACAAAGCAACTTGTCTTCTTTTTACGATCAGTGACACAATATTGTTTGTCCGTTGTTGCACAGGTGCTCCTTTCCAAGATTTCTTTGAAATTGAAGCCTGCCAATGCGGGAACGTCTTATGGAGGGGGGCTTTTTTATCCTCAAGATCTTGTTAGGACCTGTTAACGGATTCTGCGATGAACTGTGATATCTAAGAAAAGAGTCTCCTGTCCTAATTTCTTTCCAAGGCTCTGCGCAGCCTTCTCATAAGTTCCCTTGTTAAGGCAGGACTAATAAATGGTCTTAATCATATCATGGTGTGATTTCCATTACAGTGACAATAAATTTATAATAATTCACGATTTAAGACCCTATCTCGCAGGCGCATACAACTTGCGTTGTACGTGAGGGCGGAATGTAGTAAAATGGAGTCATACTTTTGAACTCCTTCAAAGTTAGGTGTGTAAGCTGTGGATATTCACTAATAAATTCAGCGTGAAGTTCTTCAAGAGTTTTTTTCAGTATTCTTCTCGAAGTGGTCAGAGACTGAGTCGTTGGTCGTAGCAAGTCAATTTTATGGGTTCGCGTATCACATTTTTCACGAAGATATTTCAAGACAGTGCGGTCAAGAATTAAGGATTCCCTTAGAGTTGCTTTCTTTTGACTCGGATCAATGAAAGCTCTCTCGTCAAGAAATGCGTCTATTGCCGAAACAAATATAGGATTATAGACATGATGGAGATCGTAAAATTCATTAATTTTATAATCCAATCTAATGAAATATTCGCGGATTTGATCTGATTGAAATTGGCATAATTTTCCCCAGATTCTTTTTCATCTGCAAGCTTCTTCAGTTTCTTTTTCTAAAGCGAGGTCGCTCAACTTTCCGATATTTATAATAGGGTGTTTTTCCATTTACTCTATCAATATTGTTTTGGACTTTTTGACCGGTCCTTAATTCCAAATGTCGAGGAAAGAACATGAATTCTTTCTTGCGAATTATTTTCTTTTAATACCGCTTTTAAAATCACGTTCTCATTTTTCCAAGTTGATTTGTCAAGCATATTTTTCATTATTTCACTAGAATTATAATCTTTTATAAATTGTTCTATTCTTTTATAAAATTTTCTCTTCACAAACCTTGGTAAAAGCTGCATTTTGATGAGAGTATTTTGATTCTGCTCACTCAGGTTTTGCATTTCACTTTTAATTTCCTCGGTTGTTTTCAAAGTTGACAGAGCTTCCAAAATACTTGGAACGGAAGATGTACTGGCAATTTCTTCAAGTGCACCTATCAAGTTTTCTTTTTCAAGTTCAAGCCGCTCAGCGGGATTTTCATCTATCCAATCAGGATCAGAGTCATCTTCCTCAGAATTCGTCGTTTTATTCTTTTTAAGAATAGAGCGAGGCTGAATGTTTAGTTCCTGCTCTTGGTTCTGTTCAACACTTCCTTCCTCTTCTCTAGAGGCGCGTGATATTTTTTCGAGACGAACGTCAGCATCCAAATGCTCTATCGTTGATTTTGATAGAATCCCGACTTCTTGAGGCATAAAAAGCATCTGCTCACTTGCCTCGACATTTTTCGTTAACACTGTAGGCAAATTTTTTGATGAATGCGGTGCCTCTTGATTTTCAAGAAGATAAGGCTCTTCAGATGATTTTTGCACCCTGACAGGTTCTTCTCTAACAGCTTGAACTAGACCGGAGCCGAAGTCATCTTTGTGATTACTCACGTGGTCTTCAATATGCTCTAATGGGATCCTCTGGCAGCATATAAAGCAGGTTGGCAAAACGCATTGTCTGATCTCATGCTGTCGTTTTACCCGGCCATTCTGTTTTGTTGGACGACTTCCACAGCATTTGTAGGCATCTTTTCTCTTCAATAGCTTCACATCATAGTCTTTGCTTGTGACGGAAGCCGTACAGTTACCAAGGTGATTATTGTATAAATCCAAAGAAGAAAAGTGCTTTTTGCAATCTTATTTTTGATAAGAACACAGCATACTTAGACAATCCTGATAATTATTATCTTTCCTGTGCAGACTCGACCAGAGCATATTTTAACATGATCATGAAATGCTGAGGCAGTAGAAGATGTTGGAAAATTATTTCCACATTTACGACAACAAGAGTATCCTTTGATGGATTTTAACAGCGCTCAAGCTAAAAAGCTAGACAAGTCCTGGGATTGAACAACGGTTTCCCGCGTCCGGCCGGGGTGTGCTACCACTGGATCAACTCGCCGAGATCTCTATCGAGATTTTGAAATGATACTCTGAACGGTCGGGCCTGAGCGCTGCTAGGACCCATCACCTTTATAATTGGACAATTTAATCGATGGACGAGACGTCGGTCCATTGTATCTATTGGGTTGTAAGCGGTCGTTTGGGCAGACAAGTAAAGATAGAAAAATTTTTAGGTAAAATATTTTTCATTCTTTGAAGGTCTGTTCAAAAGGCCGCCTACCACCCTTTTTGTATTAAGCTCTTTAACTAAAAACTTTGCAAAAAGTTTTTCTGCTTCTTTCGCCGTAAAAGCGGGAGAAGATTTCAGCTTAAGAATGTTAGAAAATTCTTAAAAAACGATTATACCTTTGAGAGAATATCACCTAATTTTGACTTTTTCTTTGACGATATTATCTTTGTCACATCATTGATTATTTTCGTGGCAAGTTTATCAGTCATTGATAGAAAACTAAGCTCTCTTAGAGAGTCTGCAGACCGTTGATCGGTGATTTCGACCGATGCGGCGATCTCGCGGAGCCTACTTCTTGCCAGAGCTTGCCTTAAGCCTGTTGTTTTTGCTTTTGATTCTTTCTTGAACGCGTTTCTTAGGGAACGAGTTGAAGAATTTGTTCTGGTTAATGGAAAATTCTTCGTCCGACTGCACTCAAGAAGACTTGGTCTATGAGTGCTTGGTTTGCGTGCGATTTTTTGGAAGCGTGATCGTGTGACATTTTCAGTTTTCGTAAGCGCCTCAAGGTGACCATTTTGCGATTGTTTTATCATTTCCATCGTTTCTTCGTGATCTTGCAGATATTGATTCTCCGGTGTGTCCATCGAATTTTGAATTTCTGTCCCGTTGACATGATTGTAAGTGTAGTCGGAATCTTGTATATCCTCACTCACATTTTCATGACCATAACTTTGCAGGTGCGAAGAGCAATCTGCTTCCGCTCCTAATTCATTCACTGAAGACGTCGATAATTGAATTTCTGAATCCTCATCAATCGTAAGAGAACTTATATCTGGCACAGAAGGCGCTCGTTCGTTCATTATGTCGAAATCTGATGAAGATGGTACACTTGGAACGCATCCGTTCATTATGTCGAAATCTGATGAAGACGGTACACTTGGAACGCATTCGTTCATTGTGTTTATATGGTCAAGATCAGGGTCTCGAAAAATACGAGGCCAGGCGGCAGCCACAACCCACTCATACTCTTTTGGTTTCCACCTCTTAGAGACCCACCTCCGCTGGCCGCCAGGGTTCAGCGGCCACTTGGTGATTCATCTTGCGTTAACGCGACCCAGTCCGAATTTTACATTATCCGAGGCTGAAATTCGGTCTCCAGTGGAATCCAGCGGCCAGCGGCTGGCTTTGCCGCCAGAGCGTGGATTCGAAAAATGAATGGAGGCCGTAAGCGAAGGGCGCGCGGAGTATGAATAAATCCTCGCCGCCGCATGGCTGCCAATTTTTCGAAACCCTGGTCAAGATTCATCACACTTGGAACTCGACCATAAAAACCTCCGTTAAATCAGTCAGTTCAGAGTTATTCGCCTGAACCTCATCGTGGGAATAAACAGAAATGGTGTCAATATTAAGAATTGACGGAGCTGTGCCAAGCGGTTCATTTAGATTATCAAGTCTCTCGAGATCAAGAACACTGAAATGCAAAATTAACTTTAATTCAATCAATCTTGAACGAATAAAAACCTTGGTACTTGAAGAAGATTAACAGGAGCTTCATTGGGGTCAAAGTCATAGTTAGACACAGCATCAATAGAATCGATATTCATGACGCTTGGCGCTGGACCAAGTGCGCATAAATCATCTGGTGGTGGTTCAACAGGCATCATAGAGACGCCAAACTCGGACATCGTCTAAATACTTTAACAATTAATCCTTATCCAAGATTTTATCGAACAAATTGCTTAAGGGTAACAATCACGTAAAAAATAAGGAAAGAGTGAAAGAAAAGGATAAACATCGTAGAACATTGACATCATAACAGAACTTCTCATCCACGACGACGACTTAAAAAGGTAAAATGAACTCCACATCATATAATTCGATTTTACCACAAGTTTTTTGGAAACAACGATGTGAGAGAGACAAATTTTCCACACAGTAATTCGTAATAACCCTGATGTCGTCCACCTTGATTGTAAGATCGTCTTATTCTTTGTTGGAGACGTAGCTCATCATATGCACGATGAAGTTGATATATTCTGTAGTCTAAACACCTCGTCATTTCCAAAACATCTATTGTTTCTTTAGATATTTGATTCCAATTTGAAGGCTTGTCAAGTTTTTGGAAGAAAAACTTTTAACCAATCGTTCAGCTTTTAATCTGAGCCATTCTTTCGAAGAGATCGTCTTAAATATAACAGCAAGCTCAAGAGGCCTCTTAACCATAAATTTTGCAATTTCTCGATCGTCTAGATCAGAGCTGGTTATTTGATAACTGTCGTCACTCGAAAAGAAAAAGAATTAATTTTTAGAGAAATTTTGGAGACTTTTAAAGCGCTTACTTCTATTATCTTTTTCTAAAGCTTTCTGAAGATGATTGAACGAGACGAACGCGAAAGATAGAAAAACGACGCGTAAATATTAATTCGCACACTAAAATTTTTTGACAGATCATAGGACGCGAATTCGACAGCCATGATCCCGATTATAATCGAAAATTCATATGATAAGCGGTACCGCACATTCAAAAGAGCAATTTATGACAGGCCCGCCCTGAAAATGGAAAACGAAAAACGACTCGACAGTCATAGTGGCTTCGGTTCTTTCCAATATATCTTCTAATGCCCTGTACATTTGCTTTGGAGCAAACTCAGGGAGTTGGCTTTGCACGACACGAGACATCATAAAGGTAAGATTCGCCATGGTCCCCGAGCCATCATTTGACACTTCGAAGGAATTAAGGAATCGTGGGATTTTTCCAAGGTATTGTTTTCGAGCATCCATGGTTTTAACTAAGCAGATCAATTTTTATACTTTTGAAGCAATAATCAACGATCAGAAAGCAGAAAAAGCGGGTGTGCGCTCCGCGCCTGTCTTAAAGGAAACCCGCAACTTTCTAGAATTGATGGCCTTGAGGGCGTTGTTGAATTCAGGTTATAGGGACTTTTGCTGATTTCTAAAATGGTCTTTATAGCCTCGATGGCCATGATGTCCTTGATGGCCTTGTCGACAATCTCTTTTTCTTTTATCGCCAGAGAGAAATGAAAAAAATCGGTCAAAACGAAAAACACAAAGAAACCGACTTAAGCCGACCACCCACCGACCAAACCCCACCACCGATCAAATCAAAAAAATCCATGGTAGGATCGTTCGGTGCCAATATAAACCCCACCATTTCCGACTAGGTCGAGTTTTTGGTCGGGTCGATGGCCTTGATGGCCATGCTGGCCGTGATGGCCTTGATTGCCTTGTTGACAATTTCAGGTTCATCCCTATTAAAGGTGTAACGAACGTAAGTGATCTTAATTCTCGGTCCGAGCCAGAGTTGCAGATTTTTGAAAATTTTTGTGAGCTGAGCTAGCTGAGCTGTGGTCGAAATTGAGCTGAGCTGGCCCCTTGAAAAGCAACTGAGCTGAGCTGGATTTTTCGAAAAAATGAACTGAGCTGAGCTGAGCTTGGGCTAATTTGAAAATTTTTGAGCTAAGCTGAGCTGACAATTTTTTTAAGCTGAACTGAGCTGAGCTGGCCCCTTGAAAAGCAACTGAGCTGAGCTGAATTTTTCGAAAAAAATGAGCTGAGCTGAGCTGAGCTTGGGCTAATTTGAAAATTTTTGAGCTGAGCTGAGCTGACAATTTTTTTAAGCTGAGCTGAGCTGAGCTGGCCCCTTGAAAAGCAACTGAGCTGAGCTGGATTTTTTCGAAAAAAATGAGCTGAGCTGAGCTGAGCTTGGGCTAATTTGAAAATTTTTGAGCTGAGCTGAGCTGACAATTTTTTTAAGCTGAACTGAGCTGAGCTGACCCCTTTGAAAACAACTGAGCTGAGCTGAGCTGAGCTGGATTATTTCGAAAAATTTGAGCTGAGCTGAGCTGAGGTTTATCTGTTAGTTTTTGAGCTGAGCTGATGATTTTTCAAACTGAGCTAGCTGAGCTGAGCTTACAATTTTTTCAAGCTGAGCTGAGCTGAGCTAGCTGAGTTGAGGTTAAAATTGAGCTAGCTGAGCTGATCTGACTTTTCTCGAAGAACCATTGAGCTGAGCTGAGCTGAGCTGGCCCCCTTGTAAAGCATCTGAGCTGAGCTGAGCTTGGGCTTATCTGAAAATTTTTGAGCTGAGCTGAGCTGACAATTTTTTAAGCTGAACTGAGCTGAGCTGACCCCTTTGAAAACAACTGAGCTGAGCTGAGCTGAGCTGGATTTTGTCGAAAAATTGAGCTGAGCTAAGCTGGGGTTTATCTGTTAGTTCTTGAGCTGAGCTGAGCTGATGATTTTTCAATCTGAGCTTGCTGAGCTGAGCTGACAATTTTTCAAGCTGAGCTGAGCTGGGCTAGCTAAGTCGAGGTTAAAATTGAGCTAGCTGAGCTGAGCTGACTTTTCTCGAAGAACCATTGAGCTGAGTTGAGCTTGCTTTCTTCAGAAAAATTAAGCTGAGCTGAGCTGAGCTGACCCTCACCTCGAAATCGCTGAGCTGAGCTGAGCTGAGCTGTAGCTCATCTAGCTCATATAGCTCACCTCAGCTAGCTCACAAAATTTGTAACTCTGGTCCGCGCTATTCCGATTTACGGAAAAATGTAAAATGAGGGAATTATAATGGCCTAAATTCCCTTTTATAATTTTAGACTTGTAATAGATATATCTGTTTAAAAAATAAGTCAAACGATAATAATAATAAATAAGTATAAGAAGGACCACCGAACATACTGTTTTTTCAGAATTTTTTTCTGCGCGAGGCCCATCTAGGCCAAAACCGTGGGGAAGTCTTTAAAGCATACCTTCTGTCTTCGTTTGAATTCTACTTTCTTTGGAGTCAGTCGTTGGCAGGATTTCTTCTGTTTTTGATTTTTCTGCAATTAACAAGCGTCTTATATAATTTTAAGAATAAATATATATATTTAGTATACCTGTCACTGGTATCGAAAATTATTAACAATCTTTCTCTTAGCTTTCTCTTCTTCTCTTTCAATTTTGTGTGTTTCACAGAATTAACTTTCTCGAAGTGAACTGCCAGCCAGAAATTAGTTTGGAAATTTTTTTTTCATACTGTGATTTTGATTGATGCATCCATTAAATAATCATTAATGAGCGAGGTAGTTCCGGAATCGCGAGCGCATGTGTACACTTCACCGTCGATCGATATTGAAACAAAAAATTTTCAAAATCAAATGAGCAATATTTTTGCTCAAAATTATTATTTTCAAAATTAAAAAAAATAAAAAAATGTAATTTAACGGCAAAAAAAATTGTTCTCAAATGACCTCAGATGACCTCAGATGACCTCAAATGACCTCAAGTGACCTCAGAGCACTATTTGATTACTTTTTTGTAGTTTGTAATTTAATAAAAGTATATGCTTTGTATTTGCGAAATTAGTGCAAAACTAATCCTCAAAAAAAAATTTTTACAGCCCAAATGTTGCCCGATTTGCTTCAATTTTCGCAAGCACATAGATTCGACTATAGAGATTCCAAAAAAAAATAAAAAAAAAATTTTGTTATGGAAAAATTTTGCTCTATGAGCAGTTAAAATTTCGGAATTTCAACCTTTATCAAGTCCAAATGTCGAAAATTTCGAAGATTTGAGCAGACTCTAAAAACGTTTTTTATACAGTTTGAGAAGCTCTTTCAGATGAGCCAATCAGAAAAAAAAAAATTTTTTTCGACCTGCCACAATTGGAGACTTCTACCATGGTTCTTGAACTTGACTCCATTTTTGCATTGGTATAAATTTAGTTTAATCCTGGCTTCACCGATTTCAACCATGACTTCTGCAATGTCAATTTCGGGTTATTCGACCTCAATATCGACTTCTTACACGTTAAATGATTGATTGATTTTCAACAAGATAAAAAGAGTCAAAATTTTCATAATTTTTCAGCCTTTTTGGGTAGATTAGATCACAGCGAAGAACTATTACTCAGAAAATTATTTTGCTCCCATAGAAAATTTTTACAAAAATTGGCTCCGAAAATTCAAAATTTGCATTGACAGTTATTTTTAAGGGGGCCCGGAGGACTTTAAAAAAAAAAAGGTTTTCCCCGACATCGTACGGGGATGAATAAAGGCTCATCTGAAAGCCCATTTATCGAACTGTTTAAAAAAAATTCGACGAAAATATTGGATCAGCAGGAGTGCTATATCAGCCGGCTTTCTGTCGGCGAGTCGGTCCTTGCACGCCGCCACGGCGCCCATTTTCCAACAATAGCAGCGCCTCAGCCAATCAGCGCGCCGCTTTTCCAAATCTATTGTTATTTAGTGCATTTTCAACAGGCATTTACAGCGAAACTACTTTTTCAAAATCTTCGCTGAATTTTTTTTAAATAGAACTCGGGCTGCTCTTTCAGTCAAGCCCTCATTCATCCCTCCACGATCATGGGAAGAAATTTTTTTTCAAAAAATTCTCCGGGCCCCTTTAAAAAAACTATCATTGTGCATTTCATAAATATCTTTAGTATATAATATAAACTGTGAATCTTTCAGAATAAACGAGACTCTTTAGAGACAATTCTAGCGACAACTAGAAACAACTAACCCAAATTACTCTGTTACGCTTTTTATTTGCAGGAAACAAAAATCAGAGAAACTTAAGTACTGGATACTTTAATAGAATCCAAAAGGGCACTTCCACAAGTCGTACCAGTTGGTTTAGGCTTTAGTGCATTTTCTCCTACATTCTACACTCGGTTGTTGCCTCCGCTCATCCTGTTGGAAACGAGCCACCACCAGCTTACTCGCCACGACCGCTCAGAGGTCAACGAACTTCCCCTCCTCAATTTTCGCCTGAATGCGTCTATCACTACGAAGACGTTGTTCAAGGCGAGTCTCCACCACCCTTCTCGCCTTGCGTTCGTCGCCAATTGTTTGTCGAACATACTTATTTACAGTATGTGAGTAAGGGAGGAAGACTTCTTGCATCCAAGAAGCTTCCGTTTGGCAGCAAGATTGCCAACTTGTGGCGTTTGCAACTGCACGGTATGTCCATGGTTTTCAAATTGAAATTAATTTTATTCAGCCGATCGAAACGAATCGACATACAATCTCGCCATGGCTCATGGTCGTGGCTGGGTTGAACTTGTTGAGGATAACATGAGGGCTTCAACACAGGCTTTGAAAGACGGAAGGTTCTGTGTTGGCATCTTTGGAGAAAGTGGCGTCAGCGTTGCCATTTGCGGTGGAAAACTCGTCAAGACCGACGAAGAAATTGAAGATTATTTTTCATTTTAACTGTTCAATAAATCGAATAATTCGAAAAAATTTGAATAATTCAAATAAATTTGAATAAATTGAAAAATTCGAATAAATCAAAATAAAAACAAATTTCGAAATTTGGAATGACTCATTTCAATTCTGGAAAGTATGTTCGACTGGTAAAAGAAGTTCAAGGTTTCGGATTGGTTGAGGAAGGTCAGCAGGTTGTGGGAAAGCAGAGAATTCCTTCCCGGCGCCACTGCTTCGCGTTAATCCTGATAATTTTTGATTACAGTCGGTTTTTCAAACTAAGAGAATTTGATTCAGATATGCTTGAAGGAGGGCGGCAGACCGTTAGTGACCGTATTCAAAACTCGCCAATTTTTAAGGCCAAATTCAAAAAGTCTCAAAAGTAAGAAAATTTTTCAAATTTGATAGATAATTCGTAGCATGGACGAGGCCGAAAATTTGAGCGATCAGGATCTTGAGGCGATGGCGAACTTTCTCAGTGAGAATTTGGAGGGCAAGATTCGTTGCCAGGTTCGAAGTGAGGGTCCCAAGGTAAGAAAGCAATAAGAGAAAAAATAAAAATATTAAAGTGTGCAAACATCTGCACCTACTCGATCACTCTTCTCATTGGAATCGTGCTCGGTGCCGCTGGAATTGTGATTTATTCAATGTTCCAGAACTGTCTCCGTGATACATTTCAACCACCCCACACTGAACCTGATCTCGCTCGTCATGCTCGATCTCTTCGATACGGTAAGTTTTGGAAAATTACTCCTTGTTGATTTTTATAAGAATGGGATGAAGAAGATTACGACTATTCGAGTTTCATGTCTTCCTCCTCCTCTTCGACTGATTCTTTCGAGCAAGGTATGATGCGTTAGAAAGCCAATTTAACAAGATAAAGATGAGTTCGAGAATCCATATGTGCAAGATGGAGTGCAGGAGAGCGATGGAAGCGGCCAGGAGAGCGATGCAAGCGATCAGGAGAGCGATGGAAGCGGTCAAGAAAGTGGATCGGATGGAAGTGGTCAAGAAAGCGGTCAAAAAAGTGCTAAAGAAAGTGATGGGGAAGAAAATGATGATTGGCGCAAAATAATCATTCAATTTTAAAAGAAGGTATGATAACATCCAAGAAAAAAGGATTGATTATATTTAGATAAGAAGAGATCAATTAGAAAAAATTTGCTACTGCTCCGCTTCGCCACAGAATATTTTGAATTATTCAGTCAAATAATTCAAATAATTATCCGAAGTACTGCTACTACCTGCTTTGCCTCTGAATTTTAAATAATTTAATTGAATAATTCGAAAAAATAATTATTCGAATTATTCGATCAATTATTAAAAAAATAATTTGGAATTTTTAGATTGAAAAATTGAGTTCACACTATGTTTGTGTGGAAACTCCAACTGTTCTAGTTGTGAAGAGGATTTTACTTTGTGGATGTAGTACTCAAAAATGCCGATTTTGAAATTATGCGAGAGTGTTGACGATGACAACTCTTCTTGTCTGGTGGACGATATTTGCATCATAGTGAATCCACTTTGCTGGGACGATTTTCCACTCGGATTTTGCGCAAAACAACTGGTGAGTCAAATAAGTTAAATAAAACTTAAAAAATATTTTCAGAGACTCGCCATTGAGAGACACGATCGCCGAATGATAAAACTTGAATCTGAGGTGAGATATCAAAGAGGTTTAATCAAACAATGGTTAGAGAAACGACAAGTTGACCAAATTCGTTCTACGCCAGATGATTGATGTGCCGGAAATTTTCAAATCTTCCAAATGGTGTGAAACTTATGTAAGATCAATATGCAAACAAAGGTTAATTGCTATTTTAGCGCCGTCGTTTGAAGATTGCCGAAGGTGAATTTCCGCCAACATCAGAAACCTGTTTTCACGGCGTGAAACACTTGATCGTTTATAGGGATTTACTGTCTTTATTTTCCCGATGAATCAAGTTGGCACTTGAAGGAAGTCGCCCGAGCTTGGCGCGGCGCTTTTCAAGAGCACTTGAGCTCACTATATAACCGGCTGTCACTAGTCCACGAGCAGCTATTTTTCCAAATTAGCCACTGACCAAATAAATTACAATACTATGAAAGTTTGATAGTTTATTATATAGAGAGTAAACCTCTACAATGGTGTCAGAAGTGTTTAAGAACAGCGACTCTAAAAACTGCTGCGCATAAACGACGCAGACAGGTAAGCACAATAGGTGCCCGATTAAAAATCGAAAGAAACGACCAGCACAAGCAAGACTGGCACGGAAACCAACTAGTCCGCATTGTCGTGATCACCTAACGACCAGCCAAATGCTGAGCAAGCGCATTAATATGCCGATATCGGTGCGAGAGTTAAGTCTTTGCAACTGACACTGAAACCGTAGAAACAACAACAGCGACTCTATACACTGCTGCGCACAAACCGACGCAGACAGGTGAGCACAATAGGTGCCCGATTAATAACAAAATCGAAAGAAATGACCAGCATAAACAAGATTGGCACGGAAACCAACTAGTCCGCATTGTCGCGATCACCCAACGACCAGCCAAATGCTGAGCAAGCGCATTATTATGCCGATATCGGTGCGAGAGTTAAGTCTTTGAAACTGACACTCAAACCGTTGAAACAACAATAGCGACTCTATAAACTGCTGCGCACAAACGACGCAGACAGGTGAGCACATAGGTGCCCGATTAAAAACAAAATCGAAAGAAAAGACCAGCATAAGCAAGACTGGCACGGAAACCAACTAGTCCGCATTGTCGTGATCACCCAACGACCAGCCAAATGCTGAGCAAGCGCACTATTATGCCGATATTAGTGCGAGAGTTAAGTCTTTGAAACTGACACTCAAACCATACAAACAACAATGAACCACAGATGCGTTAAAAAGAAAATCTCCGCCCAAAATGAAGCGAAATGCGAACATGTGTTAGTCCGTGAAAAGAACTGGAAAATATTGAACGACTGAAATAAGAATATCAAAGTTGAACAAATAACAAATATCAAGGATTTTTAACTAAAAATGGAAACAGAAGACGTCAAATCTTAAAAAAGAAAAGAGAGAAGCGATTCGCTCCGAGTTAAGCTACCCAACGAAAAAGTCGTCAATAAACACACGGGTCCAGAGGAAACAGCAGTTACACTACGGGCAAAAATAATTGGCAAACTCGCTCTCGAAAACCTGAAAAAAGAGGAAGTTGCCTTACCCTCAGGGGTCCGTCTCTATTGCGCAGGAAAAGAAGTCCGCACTGACGCAGAAGTCTCGTCTTTGCCAAAGATACCCACAAACTATAATCGCGCTACCAACGGAAACAGTAGTACCAATGCAAAACACCTTTTCTCATCGGGCTGCCGGCATTAACGAACAGAACGATCAAAATCTCGCAGAGAAAGATACAAATCGACGGAGAAAGCATTATGCTCCTCCGTAAGAAATTAACCAGACTATTCGAAGTAAAGAAAGCTGAACGAGTAATGGACGGGACAATATTAGAAGTCCAGGCACCAGTCGACAAGACGGAGGACCGAGCGTTACGGGAGCAGCTTACCTTTACTGTCCCCACAGCTTCCGGTCCCCTGGACGTCTTTGTATGGCTAAACAACCGCAGTGAGTTGAAAGCTGCAACCGATTTACCATGCCTCTCCCACTTGCCTTGGAAAAAGTTCCTAGGACTATCCCGGCCAGGTTGTCCACTGGAATTTTCGAAGTCAGAAGCGTACTCAAGGATACGAAAGATGTACCTGAAAACAACGCTGTTTTCATAGCCAAGGCAGGTCGGGCGATGATCCGCGCGCTGTCACTTCAGACAGCCCAGACAGCGGAGGAGACGCGGGACGTACGACCCGAAGACAAAACTGTTCTCCGTCCTCGGACAACTGTGCTGATGAAACGCCAAAGGGACCCCGGGGAGTCAAAGCTCTTTCGAAACTGGAAAGGGCGGCTCACAGTCTCGAAGCGTTTAGACGTTTACACTTACCTTCTTGCGTCTGATCTCTACCCAAGACGACAATTTATTGCGCACAGGAGCAACATTCGGCCTGTCGCAACTCCCCAAATCGTCGAAGAAAAGGAAGGATGCGCATCCGAGGTACGTTAAATTCACTTAAACGGAATGAAACGTAAAATTACCGGCACGACAGGCAGAGAAACCACGCCAGAACCGGCGGTCAAGCCTTCGTGAGAGAAAACGCATCAACTATAGCCTATAGTCTATAGGTAAGATCCAATGCATCTCTTTGGGGAAAGAGCGCACCGACGGTATTCGCATTGGAAAACGTATTGACATCTATTTAGGGAATAAACGCCCTGAAAGAGAACAACTGAAAAAAATACACACTGAAACTATTGAAATATCGCCCCTTAAGTAGATAAGCAAAACCGTTCCGTTCCTCGAAAACAAAATTATTTCAAGATGAGATTCGGACCTAAAGATATTTTGGAACGGCTGGTGTTGAACCACCAGCAATCCCTGATGGGCCAATTCGCCATGATGAAATGGCTCTTTGTAATATTCCTTCTCGGAATCCTTATCCTCGGCTTGAGCCTCGGACTGTTACGCAGCAATCGCTCAGAAATTTGCGCATATGATTTGCTACTGCTGCCGTCAAAAGCAAGAAGTGCAGCTTAAAGTTCTTCCGGCTCAGCAAAAGGAGACCCGGCGATGAAAATACGGGCAAAATCTTGGCAGAGCCTCATTCTCTTAAAAAAAAATTCACGACCACTTCAGGGTACTAAAATAAGTACAAGATATCTGATTTGCGAAAATCAATTCAATTTTAAAAAGCCCCTTGATAAATTTTTGAAATAAAATCGTGTCTCCGAAACGAGAGCAGCTCCCTTTCTGAATTTCAATTTCCGACTTGTCAAGTTATTCCAAAACTCAACAACAAGTTGCTCGAGGCCGCCCCTGCCGGCTCAAAATTTTAGCTCGTCTAAAAACTTTTCAGAAATATCGCCTTTTCGAATTGCTTGCCAAAACCGCGAGTAAATCAAGTTTCCTTCACATCCCATGACACCACCCTTATATACAGTGAAAACCCGAAATCTGCGCCTCCAGGGGCCAGCCAAGTTCAAATATTGCCTACCAACAGGCTCCCGCCGAGAAACAATAGGCTCACCTGGCAAGCGATAAAGATCGATAATGACCCTAGAATAACCTGCAAGTCACCGAGCAAATACAACGGTTTGCTTCACTCCTTAGGGTCCTGGCACAATTGAACCCGAAATTAAGAAAAAAAAAATACAGTCGACACGGAAAAGACTGGAGCATTCAGGTGCGGAACATTCAATGCTTCCGACACTCATCAACTGGCAGTTGACGACTTCCACAGAAAAATGAGCATAACCGGTAAATGAAATGCGAACTTTGGTTGAGCTGCGTTTGAAACACCAACTCTACCATGGTCGAACTTAACAAGGCTCCATCGTTATAACAAGGAGTAATGTTAAATTGATTGACAGATTCCACGAAATTTATATTTGATTTTATGACGAAAATTGTCGGCAACGAAAGGCTGAGTTGACCATAATATGTTTTTGAAAAAAAAAATTCACGAGCGAAAAGAACTCGAATAAAAGAACAAAAATGCGTTTAGATCAACGGCGAAACCTCGTAATACATAATCAGCTCGGACCGCCACGAGACTAACTTTGATCGAAGGAGAAGTCGTGAATTCATACGACGTAAAATAGAAAACCCCAGAGGAGAGGGAAATAAAGGGTTGAAAATAATCCGACATTGCTTTGGCAAGCAAGGATAACATGCCACCAAGAACATTTCACCAGAACCAAGAAAATTTTGAAATCAATCGAGCGGAAATCGCCTCGATGCGACCAAATCCAACCCAACTGGACACTTACTGCGTTGCTCTATCTCGAATTCGGCCTGACTTTGATTGACCTGGCGTCAAGAGCCAATTGCTCGGCTTCAACCAGCTCCTAATACCTTCGTTTCTGTTTCGATTTTCGCCTGTTCAAAGCCGCTCTGGCCTTATCCTACAACACTTCCTCCCAAATCTGCTATTTTCTGACGAAGGAGGGAGATAGTGTTGGCTCTCGAATAAGCTGCAAAAACTGAACACGGTCTTGCGTAGGAAA